AAGGTAAACCTATTTTCTATAATGATTCCAAGTTTCCTGTTATTCTAACCACTTTTTGCATGTAACTTATATTTTTGTATATCATGGTGGTTATTTGTGTTAATGCCCAGGAGCTCAGGTATAGGGGACAGTTAGGTTTAGGGCCTCAGGTCTGGTAGGGTTAAGCGCCTTCACACAGAACCTGCCTAAACACTCTGGATCATACTTGTTGAATCACTGGGTACACATGCGCTGGTGTAGTTTTTGCGTTTCGAGCCACGCAAACACTTGCCCTACTGTCATCATCTTCATTGTCATGCTGCTGGTTGTCATGGAGAAGGCACCATTGGCTTCTTTGACTGTTCTGCCTGCTGAGCGTGCTGTAAACGACATTGCACTTCTTTGTTGGCGTATAATGGATCCGCCTGTGTACATCAGTATATTGACAGCAACAGGAATCTGCTCCCTGCATTGCCTGTCAAATGTGGTAACATTGGATCATGTACAAATAAACGCATAAGGCATGGGTATCCACACTTCACTAGGGGTGATGTCGGTTAGCTGCATATTTGCTTGATAACATCTTCAGCCCGACCTAGCCATGATTTTCCTCTTTTCACTGAAAAATGCTTGATGCACTGGGTGTTTCTTATCACAGCATATTTTAAGGCATACCTGAGCCCTCCAGATCCTGATCCTTTGGTTCATGGTCAGAAAGTCAAGTAGATATCTCACTGCTTCACTAAAGATATATTCCAGCAATGTATAGTTGTCCATCTCACTGAAGATACACTCCAGCAATGTATAGTGTCCATCTCAACGAAGATACTCTTTAGCAATGTATAGTTATCTATCTCCACCCGTGTGTCACCAGGGCCCTCACGGGAAGCAAAGAATAAAGACACTGCACCCTACCAGGCATGTCGTAAGAGGCAACTAAGGGTAGGGTTGGGCTTGAGGTTGGCTACCTCATCCTGTAAAAACCATAGCCACAAAAACCAACCAACCAACCATGGATAAGTCAAAAAGAGAAGCAAGTAAAACGCAGCCAGCCAAGATGAGGGAAGGCTCTTCAAATAGAAGAAGTATGACACAGTGTGGAGAAAGCCCTAAGGAGTCCAGATCGTTGACATACCTCCTCTCAGTTAGGAAAACCTCCAGAATTGGCACCTGGAATGTTAGAACTCTCTATGATATAGGGAGAACAATGTAAGTAGCAAGGGAAATTAAACATTATAGAATTAGTATTTTAGGGTGATGTGAAACTAGATGGACTGGGGCGGGGAAAAGTATTCTAAATTCAGGGGAAACTATTTTGTTCTCAGGACACACAGAGGAAAATTCGCCCCACAAAGAAGGAGTGGCCCTGATGCTATCAAAAGAAGCAGACAGGGCACTAAAAGAATGGGAAGCTGTGAGTCCCAGAAAAATAAGAGCATCTTTTAGAACAGCGAAACAGAAGGTAAACATGTTGGTAATACAGTGTTTCGCACCAACAAATGATAAAGATGCATCTGTTAAGGAAGAATTTTACATGCAGCTTCGAAATATTATAAATAATGAAAGAAAGGGCAATTACAAAATTTTGATGGGTGACCTGTATGCTGAGATAGGATCAGACAACACAGGTTAACAAGAAATTATGGGAAGACATGGTCTAGGAATAATGAATCAAAATGGAGAATTGTTCACAAATTTCTGTGCAGGAAACCAGTATGTTATTGGAGGAAGTATTTTTCTCCATAAAAGAATACACAAGGCAACATGACCATAAGACAACTAATCAAATTGATCACATATGTATTAACAAAAAGTTTAGATCATCCCTTTACGATGTTAGGGCTTTCAGCGGTGCTGATGTATTTACTGACCATTTCCTGGTGGTAAGCAAAATCAAGTTGAAACTAAAAAGATATATAACATCTTATAATCATAGAAACCAATATAAGGTAGGTTATCTCAGGGATAAAGAAGTTAAGGAACAATTTTCAGTTACAGTCTCTAATAAGTACCAGGTGTTGCAGCAGTTAGCTGAAGATGTCAGCACTTAATTCTGCTGGGATCAGATCAAAGGAATCTGGAATGAATCTTGCGTAGTTCTTGGCAAGAAAGAACGGAAACATAAAGTGTTGATAACACCAGAAACCATTAAACTGACTGAAGATAGGAAAAGTAAAAAGGCAGACTTAAACGATAGCAAAACTAGAGCTGCTAAAGCTAGAGCTCAGGATAAATACACAGAAGCCAATGAGTAGTTAGGAGGCGTATAAGGGCAGATAAAGTAAAATATCTAAATGATCTAGCATAAGAAGCGGAGACAGCAGCAGCAAAAGGAAACCTCAGAGAACTTTACAGTAACACAAGAAAATTAGTAGGTAAATACAGTCAGCCAACTGGATCAATCAAAAATAGTCAAGGAAAGGTACTTACTAACACTAAAGATCAAATGGACAGATATGTTGAATATTTTGAAATGCTTCTAAATAGACCAGGTCCAGAGGTTCCTCCAGATATCCAGCCTTTAAAAATTGAACTGATATCAACTGTGAGATACCATCTAAAGAGGAAATTAGAAAAGCTATCAATCTTCTCAAGGAAGGAAAGGCGGCAGGCCCAGATTGTATCCAAGCTGAAGCCATCAGGGCCAACATAAACACATCAACAGAATTGCTACATAGATTATTCAGTAAAGTCTGGGAGACCGAAGAAATACCAGCAGACGAGAGAGAAGGATATCTTGTGAAACTGCCCAAAAAAAGGTGATCTACAGGAGTGTGAAAACTATAGAGGAATTATGTTGCCGTCAGTTCTGTGGAAAATATTAAGTAGAATTTTTTTGGAAAGATTAAAAGATGCTATTGGTAAAAAGCTAAGAGATGAACAGGCAGGTTTTCGGTCAAACAGATCCTGTACTGACCAGATAGCCACATTATATATTATAATAGAGCAAAGCATTGAACTGAACTCACCACTTTACATTGGATTTATAGACTATCAAAAAGCATTTGACAGCATTGATAGGGAATCTCTCTGGAAATTGATGGGGCACTATGGGATCCCAAAGAAAATTATTAACTTAGTAAAGGCAACATATAAAGACATGAAATGTCGAGTTTTTCATGAGGGAAAGCAAACAGATACATTTGAAATAAAAACAGGTGTGCGACAGGGATGTCTTTTGTCGCCTCTCTTATTTTACTGGCTATAGACTGGATTATGAAAACAGTAACTGCTAACACCAAGAAAGGAATTCAGTGGACCCCTACAAAACTGCTTGATGATCTGGACTTTGCCGATGATATTTCTCTTCTGTCCCATTCACGGAATCAGATGCAAGATAAATTAAATATACTTGATGCGAGATCACAGCAGCTTGGTAGGAAAATCCATAAAGGAAAGAAAAGATAATGAGAATAAATCAGGCCAATAGTAATGTGGTTTCTCTTAATGGCACCCCACTCCAAGACATGGAGTCGTACACCTATTTGGGCAGTAATGTAGATAAAGATGGAGGAACTGATAAGAGAGATTAAAATAAGAATACGAAAGGCAAGAAGAGCTTTCATAGCACTAGGGAATTTGTGGAGGTCAAAAGAAATTAAAAGAAATACTAAACTAAAATTTTTTAATTCTAATGTCAAATCAGTACTTTTGTATTGGGTGGAAACACGGAGAACAACTAAGGCAATTACTAATAAATTACAGACATTCATTAACTGGTGCCTGCACAGAATAGAGGGAATTAAGTGGTATGATAGAATAACTAATGTAGAGCTTTGGGAGAGAATTAAACAGGCTCCTATGGACCAAGAGGTGAGGAAAAGACGCTAGCATTAGATAGGACACACACTGAGAAAACAGGAGAACAGCATAACTAGAATGTCTTTGCATTGGAACCCACAGGGGCAAAGGTATAAAGGAAGGTCAAAAAAACAGATGGAGAAGAGAGCTGAAGAATGAAGTTAGAAAGATGGGGAGGACATGGGAAGAGCTCCATGCAATGGTGAAGGATAGAACAACTTGGCGTGAGTTGGTTGAGGGCCTATGCTCCATTGGGGGATAGAAAGGCAGAAGAAGAAGAAAAGAAGTTATCTATCTCACCAAAGATACACTGTAGCAATGTATAGTTGCTCATCTTATTGAAGAAACACTCCAGCAATGTATAGTTATTCTTTTCATCTCACTGAATATACACTTTAACTTTGTGTAGTTATCTATCTCACTAAAGATACACTCGAGCAAGCAATGTATGATTATCTATCCCCCTGAAGACACTCTAACCATATGTAGTTATCTATCTTAGTGAGAAAACACTGTAAAAATGTTGTCTATGTTACTGAAGATACTCTCTAACAATGTAGTTATCTATCTTGTATAGTTATCCATCTTAGAAAATATACACTATACCAATGTATAATTGTCTATATCATTAAAGATACTCTAACAATGTATGGTTATCTACATTACTAAAGTGACACTCTAACAATGTATTGTTTTTATACCTTACTGAAGATACTCTATCAATGTAGTTATTTATCTTACTGAAAGGACACAAATAATATAAGGTTATCTATCTCACTAAAGATACACTGTTAATGTATAATTATAGTTTAAAAAAAAGTAAAGATCCATTTTCACACCCTTAGGCGCATCGGGCATATAGGAAGACACCCATATTTTTACAGACCAATCGGCACTAGGTGGGAAATGTGGTCAGCATTTCGCCGGCCGACTTTTTCCCCCCAGGAAAGCCATCCTGGTACCAAGTTTAGGCTGCGTCAACCTGCGACGCCCCATACCATGATACAAATCCATGAAGACAGCAGTGGCTTTTGATCGAGGTATGTTGGAATTACAAGGCGGACTTGCAACGCCCAAGCCAGGCATGTCACAATGTATAATCATACTGAAGATATATTCTAAAAATCTATAGTTATCTATCTTACTGAAGATCCACTCTAACAGTATTTAGTTGTCTATCTGACTAAAGATACACTTCTGTGACAGCTATAGACATTTACCTTACTAATGATACACTCTCCTCTAACAATCAGTGGCAGGTCCTGAGAGGAGAACTTCTCTGAATCTTTACTAATCACAAAATGTAACCAGCTGGGAGATTTGTGTGCCAGAGAGTCCACCAATGGATGGTTATCAGCTAATGGTATGTGATTCTGGGGAAAAATGAAACCAAATTATTATTAATAACTTTTGATCTTTTCTGAAATTCTCATATTTATAAGGATCTTTAAATATCCTCTATTCCAGTGTACATATTTTATTTGAACTTTTCTCAAGACGAGTAAAATGTGACTGGCTCATGTATATAAGAAAATCTATTAATGTTCTTGGTTTTATGTTTAGGATTAGGATGAGAATGGTATCAATGTATATATCCTTCACTTCTTTTAAATGTCAGTTTGCAATCTGTAGTTAACAGATTGTCCTCAGTGCACATCAAAGTATTCAGGCTGTAAGTGCTCAGATTCCCTCCTAAGTAAATCCCACAGCGTTTAGTGGCTGACGACACCAGTCATGTCATGGTTTCTTATTCTTCTGTGGCTTCCTTTACAGTACTCTTGTCTGGTCACTCCCCTTTTAACATACTGTTCTTGCAGTCTGGTCATTGTTGCAGATTCACAGTCATCACTTGGTTCTTGCTTCTTACTTCTCATAGAGCATTCAGTGTATCAGCCTAGTCCCTAGCATGTCTGCCCCTCACAGAAGCTTTATCTGCAAGTCTGTCAGCTTGCTCATTGCCTTGCACACCTGTATGCCCTGGCAGGAATATAAAACTGATATTTGTCAGCCCCAACTGTCTCAAAGACTCCATCACTGTCTTCAGACCCAACCCATTCCTGAGTATACTCATTGAGTATTTTTATTTGTAATCTTTATTTAAGAGTAACTTAAATCTACAGCTTGTCATCTCAGCTGCTTTTCTTCAAGATTATCTCCAGTGGAGCAAGATATCACTAAGATTCAAGACAGTTGTATATTTTTATGCAAACTGTTGCATGTTTTATGGTCTGTCATGTCTGTTGAGATGCTAGTGGCTGATGTCAGAACCCAAAACCTAAACAATTCTCCAGACTAAAGTTTTGGACAGCAATACTGGGGATACACAAACAGATAAGAAAACACAGAGGTACTGACAGCTGCCAGTGTCACAAGATAGTTCGTTAAAACAACTAAAAGACAAATGAAGAGTATGTGGTCCATCAACAGAAGAGATGGAACAGAGAAATTATTTTTATGCAGCTAAAAATTAGACAAAAGAGGCAGTGGAAGACTAGTAAAAATGAGTGTGGAAAACTTAAGTAGGTTGACAAAAAATAAAAAACACTATAATCAACACCAGCTTCACTAGTGTATCATCTGGACTAGGTATTTATGGAATAAGAGGAAGTACAAAAAAAAAAAAAAAAAAAAGAAAGAAAATCATTATGAAGGAAAGGACATAATTCCACATAACTGATATAAAATACTGGACTAGCACCACAGGTGTAGACATGAGAGCTTCACCCTGCATATTTTTTTAATTTGCAAAAATGTAACATGCATACTGACTAAAGTGAACACATCCTAGATTTAGACAGTTTTTATAGGGGATAAATGAAATTTCAACAAATGAATTTAGAAGTCTCTTACAAGTGTACATTAGGTTACACTTCTTTTTATATCAGAAGGCCGAGCGAAAAAGAAGGAAAGAAAGGAAGAAAGAAAGAAAAAAGAGAGAGAGAGGGGGAGAGTGAGAGAGAGAGAGAGTTAGAGAGAGAGAGATAGAGAAACAGAGAGAGATAGAGAGAGAGAGACAGAGGGAGAGAGAGAGAGACTTTCAATAGTAAAGATCATTTGTAATTTGAAACAGCAAATTTTAACATATACATAAAACTCCCATCCCTCTTGCTTTAGATACATTTTATATAACCCCCTATAGCTGTTTAACAGTTACAGTGTTGTAGCAATAAAACACCTGTGAGACTCGACTGGTCATAAATTAAACAACAGGATTTCATGTTCATATGAAGGGGAGAAAAATTTATAGTCTAGTCTCCCACAATCACCACTGAGACATGTATGAACCAGTGTATCCACTTACAGACAGAACATACTCACACAGGCAATATAATGTGGACTAAATTCTTCCAATGACTGAAACAGCAGTGAGTCAATCTTCCTCCCTGCCTTCACCAGGCCAGCAGTAAACAACTTGCCATTCATGTTCAGATTATCTACCTGCACACTGTCGTCAAATCAACAGCACAAAAAGCACAAGTAAATTGATACTGGAGGTCACCCTTGCAATCAAATGCTCTACATGTTAGAGTACAGAAAGTGTTTCTACCATCACCGTAATCAAACTGTTGTAGTGTTAAAGTCTCACATAAGGCTTGCAGCCAGTTCCTTTATTTTACTTTTATTTTGTGCAATACTGTTAATAAGCATGGAATTCAGCCAATCACCTTTGAATTTCCTTATAAACATTCACATTAGCATCTGTCATAGCTGTCTTCACTTCCTCATTCCATCTTTTCTATTTCAGTACCTGTTTTAGGATTATTCATCCTTCTAACCAAAGGTGAAGTGATGCATGACAAGCTAGATATGGTAAAGGCTCTGTGGAGGATGCAAACAATGTGGACAGCACGAACAGATTTGGAGAATATGGTGCAGCAGGGAGTGATCAGGGGATCTGACCAATACTTGACACTCAGAGGAAAATCAAGACAGATGTATAATCAGACTGCTACTGGTACCATAAGCATTAGAGCTCTTTACTGGCTGCTGATGATGAGGATAAAGTATTTATGGAACCATATTGCTAATCCAACACTTACTGTGTCTTCCACCTGTTGTTTGCACTGCTGAAGACAATTTCCAGCACATATTGGACTAATCAGCCACCTTCGTATTCATAATCATTGATCATTACTACTTTGGATGAAAAGTGGTTTTTGTCACTCGTGATGGACGAACAACAAAAACAGAATTTATGGGAATGTCCCAAGTGCTATGATGTCAGTTCTCAACTCAGCTCAGCACATAATACAATGACATAATCTGTACATATGAAGTGCTTTCTGTCTGTGTACTCAAGGTGGTTAGTGTTGTGAACTGTCTTACACAGAAATGTGCCTTGAACTGCTAATTTGTTTTAACTGCTACTTTTATCCGTGAATAACTGAAATTCTAAGAGACTATTTTCAAAAATGATTTTGGCTCCCAGGTCGACTCAGCTTTGAATGGGAGTCCTGGGAATGAAAGTTGACCAGCTTGATGCTGACCACATCGTCCATCGAGTGCTGATTGGTCTATAAAATATAGGTCTAGCCCTATATGCCTGAAGTAAGGGCATAAAAAGGGTCCTTTGCTTAAAAGAAAAAAGAAAAAAAGAAAACTGCAAATGTAGTGATAGACTGCTGATGGTGGCATCTCTAGTAAAGAATTACAAGGAATACATTTGTATGTGATTTGTACAGAGATCCCACCGCTATGAAACTGCTAAAGAATAAGGCAAATTATAACATCATAATGACTTAGAAAATCAAGTAATGCTTTTCACACTCCCCTCCATCTGATATAATCATATCTGGTCCTTCTAAACATTGCACCAGTCAAACCAAACCATGATGTTGACCAAGTCGAGTGGGCACTTCCAAAGGCGTAAAGTCTATGTAGTAAAAGTCTATGATGGCACAGCACAAATATTCACAACTTGGTGTGAAAAGGTTAGTTAAACATAACCTGAACAGTATTCACTACATTATACCAGCTTAAAAAATATTAAACTTAAAAACAATCAATTAAAAAATGGGGGCACAAATATTTGAAGTTGTTTACAGAAAGCTTGAATATCTTGGGTCACTGGTTACCAACAATGGTGACACAATGAAAGAAATTAAACGGCGACTATCAATTGCTCTTCAAAGACTAAAACAACTGAATAAATTATGGAATTGTACAGATAAAATTACAAAGGTCAGATTTTTAAGAGCATGCATCTTTCCCATTGCAACATACGCCTGTGAGACCTGGACACTTACTAAACAAGCGGAACAGCGCATAAATGCATTTGAATATAAATGTTACAGACAGGTTCTAAGAATATCTTGGGTAAAGAAAAGAACAAATGCATCCATACTTCAAGAGCTGAATATTGAAGAGGGTTGGCTAGTAAAGACAATAAAACAAAGAAAATTGAAATATTTTGGTCACTTGAAACGTCATGGAAGTCTAGAGAGAACAATAATGGAGGGGTATATGCCTGGGAAGAGAGGAAGAGGAAGGCCAAGGAGAAGATGGGTGCAGGATGTGGCAGATGATCTCCAGATGGGTGTATCAGACGCAGGACATCTTGCTCAGGATAGGAAGGTTTTCCGGAGGGTTGTTATGGCAGCGAGGTTCCGCGAGGGACATGCTACTGAATGAATGACAGAAAGCTTGCAGTCTTCTGGCCAAAGTTTAAAAACATTTGGGATCACTTTTAACAAAACTCAGTTAAAACATGTATAGCACTTTCTTCTTACTGAATAACAGTGACACACAGTGACTTAATGATTGTTTACTCTGTTTTCTTAACTGTACTGAGGACCATGTAAGAATAAAACTGTACAATAAATAAACAAACAAAAACAAATAATTTTGAATTAGAATGAACTTCAGTGTTAAGGCCAACTATATATATGAAATGACCCTTGCTCTAGTAATTTACCAGTAATGCAAAACATTGGATCTGTCCAACACATAAGCTTCTGTGGATGCCCAGACACTGGAGTTTGTTTCTTCGTAACTTCCTGTATGCTCTTCTATCCCAAGGCCATTCAAAGAAAACTGATGAAATGTGGCACCACCTGTGAGAACATGTATCTATCATTATGTATGTATATGTTCTATTGACAATTATTCAGAACAAAAGAGGAAACAAGGAACTATTGGCAAAGGTATCTTTTGCATCTACTGTCTGCTCAATGGTCTCTGAAATGGTAGACAGACAGAGTAGAGACATGCTGATGTGAAAAATGTAATTGTAAATTACTTCACACCAAGAGAAAAAAGCGTTTACATGTATTAACCCTTTCAACCCAGGAAGCCCTGAACCTGGCTTCTCTGTCAATGCCACATTCATATAAAGGGCCAGAAAGCGGCTTGTTTGCAGTTTCCTGTTTTCATCTGTGCAGTGTTTTGTGGGTCCAAATATGAATAAATTTACTAAAAATAGTATTGGGGGGGGGGGGGGGGGGGGGTGGACTGATGTCTCTACTGATGTCAAAATATTCCTGTAGCATCAGTGTTAAAAGTTTCTGAGCCAGGGCTTCGGTTACCCAAAATATGTATTTTTGTTTTTAAGGCCCTGGTGAATGTATTCTTTTTAACGCTTCACTATGTTCATGTTTATTGATTGCTTCCTTTATAAATTCCATATTCAAAAATTTATTAATGACCTGAGTCAAATGTTTTCCCCATGAATTTTTTTGTGTGGAAGCTTTCCGTTTCCTGAGGATTCCCAGCCTATTAAAAAAAAAATTGTTTTTGGGGTGAAAGGTTTTAAGGTTTAATAAATACACAATTAATGATAAAGAAATATAAAACTGTCACAAACTTTGAATAGCTGAGATCATATATTCGCATACAAAAATGTCTGTGCCCCAAACATAAAATGATCACCCACCTGCCTTACTTTCTAGTATCCCTGTTGTACCATTCCGCATCAGATTATGTAGATGTAAAGTCTGGCACCACTGCTACTCCACTATTCCAAAGTTAGTGATGGCAGCCAACAAATGTTCACATAACAATGCTTGCTGCAGATTTTTTTTTACATGACCAAACCATATGGCACACTGGTTTATATAATCATTTCTGATCCAGTCTTTGTTGTTGTTGCTTGTTTATTGTTGTTTGTTTATTGTTGTTTTGTTGACATATTCAAGACTCTAAAAGCATTTAATCTCTACTTGTATCCCTTGCTTTCATTTCCAGTTGTGGCACTGAAATTAATGCTAGAATAAAACACTGCTGTATTGTTTTCCAATATCGGTGACTCTGATCAATGACCTGCCTGGAGCTGTCACATGTGGATTCCACAATAGCTACCAAAATATGACTGATTGTGAAACAAGACCTTCAGTGTACAATGCAGATACAAATGGAAAAGCAAGATTTCTTGAGAAGCATACGTTACAGGACAAATAAAGGTCACACTTACATGATCCATCCATCAAATGGCAGTAACGAAGTGGAGAAACAAGCACCTGGAAAAGAAACAAAATATTTTACAGAAACACAAAAATGTTACGGGCATGTGTAATACATCGTTGGAAAAAAAGAAATAAAGACTGTTAAAACACTGACTCTCTAAAAAGAATCAGCTCAGAAAATGGGACTAGTTATCAATCAAGATAAGACAGAATACATTATAATAACTAGACAGGGAAAGGATATAAATTCCGGCCACATACAAGTCGATAATATGAAAATCAAATGAACAGAAACATATAAGTACTTGGGTGCAAACTTCAACTGGCCCAACATGCTGAGAGAAGAAATATAATCAGGAATCGTCATCATGTAGCAGGTCCTTTGCAGAACATCGCTTTCATCACGGTCTGCTGAAAGAAACTCACATCTCACCAGCTCTCCCGCCTCATGCACTTTCATACTGAAGAGTCACTTATATCCTGTGCCCATCTTCATGTTGGTCGGCCCCTGCCCCTCCTTCCTGGTACCATGCCTTTTGCTATTATTTTTTCTAATCTGTCGAACCTCTTGATATGACCAAAATATTTCAGCTTTCGAGACAGGATGCTGTTTATTAGCCAATCTTCCTTGATGTTCAGATCTTTCAAGATGTCAGTATTTTTCCTCTTCTTTGTCCAAGATATTCTGAGGATCTTTCGATAGAATTAATCAGGAATACAATCTGGAAATAAAGTATACTATGCCCTTTAACATCTGCTAAAGTCAAAGTGTCTCGCAACACCAAGATCAAAATATATAAAATGTTAATAAGACCAGTTTTTTTATATGGCTCTGAAACTTGGTGCATAACTAAAATAGATGAAGTCTTATTACAGACATTCAAAAACAGTCTTAGGATGAATCTTTGGACCCATCAAAGATGCAAACAGCGGGCAATGGAGAGTAAGAAGCAACAACAAAATTCATAATCTGTTTAAATTACCACTGATCACTGGCATCATGAGAGCTAATAGACTGAAATGGTTGGGGCATTTTGAAAGAATGTCAGATGACAGAGAAGTAAAAAACTGTATACATAAGGGAAATGAATGGTCGTAGACCACGAGGCAGACCAAGAAGACGATGGAGAGATAATGTCCAGACAGATCTGCAAACACTTGGTTGGAGTCACCAACTGGAAAGAGAAGGCCAACTACAGAGATGAATGGAGGCAAGTGATATCTACAAGTGAACCTCAAAGGCTCAGAATGCTGAAGAAGAAGAAGAAAATATGTGTATTTGCAGACTTTATGATCACAATTTTTATCAGTAACTGAAGATGACAGCATGAAATATCCACTGGGAAGTGACAAATTCATGCCCTAAGACAAATACAAGAGAACTATAATGACAAACAGAATTACCTCTCCGGTCACTGTCGATTCTGCCACAGACACTTGTGCAATAACATGGCCTCTCATCAGGTGTAACAGAAGTTCACTGCTAACTTCCTACATATTGGAATATAATATACATCATAAATGTCTAATATAAAAAACACAACATATAGCAGGTAATTAAAGGTAATCAGTGAGCACAAAATAACAAGCTTGTAGGCTGCTACGCTTCACTTATTAATCATAGGTATGATGTAAACAAATCAGATTTAAATAAAATAAAATAAAAATCTCCCACAGCATCAGAAATAATCCCAAAATGTTGCCATCTTGCTGACTCAACAATCGGTCACCAGTAGACTTGACTTTGAAGCAACACACTGTAATTTCGGTTTCAAAGATGTTTTTGATGTCACTTTGTTAGATTTATCAAGGTCAGAGTCATCAAAATGTTCAGTAACTTCTTTTTTCTTCTTTCGTTCACCTGAAATAGATCATCTATATCGGCTATCTTGCCTCTAGTATGAACTTCACTGTCTTTTGTAATTCACTCAGCGACCCGTAAAGTTCAGTAACATCTTCACCATTACTTTCCGAAGAAAAATCAAGAAAATCACCCATAGCCCATAAAAATGTTGCTTCTAAGAATTCAGTGCCAATACAAAATATCTGTCAAGGTGTTGCTAACATGAGAGCTCACCATAAAATTAGTGAAAATTTACTATGAGCAGGACAGAGTTGTTTCCCTTAATTAAAGAAACGGATAAATGAATAGACTAACAGCTTCAACAACATTTTTCAAAAGTGTGCATAGTTATGACTGAGGGTATGTGATCAAAGTAGCCAGGCGTAACCGTCGACCAATTGCAGTGGTTATCAGTGGGTTAAGCAGAGATGGTATACGGTTGTCAACTGAAGTGGTGGCTATGCAGGAAAAAACCGTTTCCTAGACATTTTCTTCATAGGCAGGATGTGGACTTAGGGGAAGCCCGGTGTATAAGTTAGGAAACTGAAATTGCTTCCACTGGTCATAATGGATACAGTATTATTATAACTGCTTATGAGATGAACCTGACAGTTCAGCACTTACATGGACAATGCCTTCCAGACAACAAAAGGTTTTGCTGCAGCGAACAGCTTCCTCACTTAGATCAGCAAGCTCTCTCTCTGGACCATGCAGAAAAGCAGACTGTATTGTAGGAAGCAGCTTATTTACCTGTCCAAATGAAGGGACAGATTTTATCAGTATGAACAGGGAATGAAACTAACCACAGTCAAGTTCATTTTCATGTGGACTAGATCTGAAGCTGTCAATCAGCTTCAGGACTGGTGAATATTTTGTTGAAACAAACAACAATTTAATAAACACAAACACACAAAGACAGTATACCCTGCACTTTTTAACTAAATGTGTATATACATATATGAACGACTCGAAAAGGTGCAAAATGAAGCCATGCGCATTATTTTGGGATGTACTAGAGACACATCCTGTGGAGCAATGAGGTATCTACTTGACTTTCCAACAATGAACCAAAGGATTAGGATGTGGAGGGCTCGGGCATATCTCAAAATATGTGCTGATAAGAAACACCCACTGCATCAAGCGCTTTTTAGTGAAAAGGGCGACAGACTGAAGAGGGGGAAATCGTGGCTAGGTCGGGCAGAAGATGTTATTAGGCAAATATGCAGCCTAACCGACATCATACCTGGTGCAGAATGGATACCTGTGCCTCAGGCGTTTATTTGTACATTTTCCTGTATTGTCACACTCAACAGGCGATGTAGAGAAGAGAATCCTGTTGCTGTTAATGCAGAGGTCAACGCTCTCATCGGTGAAAATTCAGACGAAGCAGATGCAATAATCTATACAGACGGATCCGTTATACGCCAAAGAAGAAGCGCATGGGCATTTACAGCACGCTCAGCGGGCAGAACAGTCAAAGAAGCCAACGGCGCCTTCTCCATGACAACCAGCAGCATGACGATGGAGGTGATGGCAGTGACACAAGCGCTTGCCTGGCTTGAAACACAAAAATACACCCACGTGTGTATACTCAGTGATTCAATGAGTATGATCCGGAGGGTTCAGGCAGGTTCAGTGCGAAGACACAGTGCGAAGACACAGGTTGGCTGGATCCGCTATCACTACCGACGGTCAGTCTATGGATCATGCTGATATTATCAATGCCCTCAGAGAAATGGGAAGGATAGACGACTTTGGTGGCAGTGAATCCACATCACTCGCCAGAATGGCAGACCTGGGAATTAAGATCGGCACAGCAAAAAACGAGACGCACACCAGCTACGCCAGAAGACTTGTTAATCAACATAGAACTGGTACTATTAGCCATCGGACGTTGGGGTTCATACTGAGGGGAGGATCTGAGCACCTATGGACATGTCCGGAGTGCAATGAGGATAACCCAACTAACTAACTAACTAACTAACATATTTTATGCTGTGGCTGGAGTTTTGAAAATGAAACAATCAGCACTTACATAAACTTTATTTGTTATTTATTCTTCGCATTGTCCCTCAGATGTTGCTCTATAACAATATAGGTTTGCTACCATGTGCCTGATGCAGTAAAGCACAAAACATTATATTTGAAATTACAGAAAAAGTGACTGTCATTGCAGATCTGTTTTACTTTTGTTGTCAGAAATACTATATGTAAGTAAAGGTCCCTTTTCCACACCTTTAGGCAAATAGGGAATATAGAGAATATAGGGATAGACCTATATTTTTATAGACCAATTACAATTTGGTGGGTGATGTGGTCAGTATCACGCCAACTGCCTTTACTTCCCAGGACTGCACCTGGTACCCAATCAAGGCTAAGTCGACCTGGGAGTCAAAATCATTTTTTAAAAAAGTCCAGCTTCGTCAGGACCCGAACCCATGACCTTCTGACCCGCAGGCGGGCGTCCAATTAATTTTTGTAGTGAGATCTGAATTTTTAAAATAACTATCCCTTTATAAACACAGAGAAAACTATCATCTCCCTCTACTACCTAGATCAAATTTTAGAAGAAACTAGAATAATTAAAAATAATTTTAATTTAAAGTATCCTTCTGTGGAATAAATTATTAAACATTGTAAAGTGATGCTTTCAAAAATGATTATACAATTTATTATCTTTCAGTTTATATGATCTGTTTGGAAAATATCCTGAAAATTGTTTGATGAACTCTGAAGCTGAACATACCTAACATCTTCTGTACAGAAATCCGAACATTTGTGCTCATAAAGCATTTGTTATTGGAAGTAAACTTTCCAGCAAATATCACAAAAAATCATTACTCCTGAACTTATAACAAAGTAAAAGCTTTGATAAGATGGTAAAAAACATCACCAACATAACTTTACTCTGTATCACAGATAATCTACACAAACAGGATCTGTATTACAGACATGCCACACAAACAAGATCTGTATCACAGACATGCCACACAAACAAGATCTGTATCACAGACATGCCACACAAACAGGATCTGTATCACAGACACACCATACAAACAAGATCTTTATCACAGACATGACACACAAACACGATCTGTATCACAGACACACCATACAAACAAGATCTTTATCACAGACATGACACACAAACATGATCTGTATCACAGACATGGCACACAAACAGGATCTGTATCACAGACACACTATACAAACAGGGTCTGTATCACAGACATGCCACACAAACAGGATCTGTATCACAGACATGCCACACAAACAGGATCTGTATCACAGACACACCATACAAACAAGATCTGTATCACAGACATGCCACACAAACATGATCTGTATCACAGACATGCCACACAAACATGATCTGTATCACAGACATGCCACACACACATGATCTGTATCACAGACATGCTACACAAACACGATCTGTATCACAGGCATGCCACACACACATGATCTGTATCACAGACATACCATACAAACAGGATCTGTATCACAGACATGCTACACAAACAGGGTCTGTATCACAGGCATGCCACACAAACATGATCTGTATCACAGGCATACCATACAAACAGGATCTGTATCACAGACATGCTACACAAACAGGATCTGTATCACAAACACACCATACAAACAGGATCTGTATCACAGACATGCCACACAAACATGATCTGTATCACAGACATGCCACACAAACACGATCTGTATCACAGACATACCACACAAACAGGATCTGTATCACAAACACACCATACAAACACGATCTGTTTCACAGACATGCCACACACACATGATCTGTATCACAGACATGCCACACAAACATGATCTGTATTACAGACATGCCACACAAACATGATCTGTATTACAGACATGCCACACAAACAGGATCTATATCACAGACATGCCACACAAAAATGATCTGTATCACAGACATGCCACACAAACAGGATCTGTATCACAGACACACCATACAAACAGGATCTGTATCACAGACATGCCACACAAACAGGATCTGTATCACTGACACACCATACAAACAAGAACACATTTCTTGGTAACAGTAATCAAGCACAGCAGAGAGGATTCACTCACACACACTTCTTCCTTAAGATGTGCTAACGGAGATGTTCCAATAGCACATTAACCATCTTTTTGTTCTATAACATTTCCTGGCACTGCATCAACATGGAAGCCCATGCCAATGTAAATCATCCATGTGAGGATGACTTGATGCAGAACTACTGGGCCATTATGCAAGCAAGCTAGCTACTGCACTAACACGACTCCAGTCAGTCTTTTGCAGTCTTTCCCTTGTCCCCAGAAATCAAATGACTGCTGCCATTAACTCTTCCAGTTTCAGCCAAAGCACCAACCGTGACTGACTTTTTTCTACAAATTAAAGTCATTGTGGATTGTCCTTGAACCCCTGTGTATTTTTGGAAAAATTGTGTGTAACAATAATTGCTAAATAAGTCTAGTTTTATTTACTCTAAAAACAATTAGAAAAATATTATAAAATTACAGACACTTACCACAATCTGAACCTTTATCCACTGCCCCCGGGTAAACTGAAATGCTCCCATGCCATGAATCTTTCCTGTGTCATCTCTCAGTACTGTCTGTAGCAGATAAGCATAAATCACCATGAGACAATAATAAACACAACTACCACAATTAACCAGTTATCAAATTAAACAAAAATATTAATATATAATCTAAAATCTTTAAAAATATAAATCCTCAAAAAACACAATCACTGGATAGGAAGAAACATGTTCTAGAATATACAAAGCAATGCATGGATAAAACAATTTACAGAAGATATGTGAAATTTGCATCATACTGTCTAAGCTGAGCACCTCCAAGACAAGGTGACAAAATATATCATTAGATTTTGGGCCAGATTAGTTAGCACTAGTTGGCAATAGCACATGATGGTGTCAATAGTTTCTTCAAGAAATTCCTAGGTTGAGGAGGCTATGCTGGGTCAAGGCTCTGAACTTGTTCATTAGTTCATTACTAAAATGTGCAACAGTTGAGTTAACAACTTTCACAGTCCAACTCCTCTACTGGTGAATAACAGGTTCTCACAACCATAAAAATATTATTATAAAACAGTCACAAGTGGAGCACTGATATTCTAGGAAAAAATGCTACATTTAGCAGAGCAACACCTCTCTTGAAGATCCTAGATTGTATTCAACATGATATACAACATGTCATGATATAAACAACAGTATCTTCAAAGACACATTTAATTCCGTCATCCAAAAGGTTGTACTACTTAAAACTCCTTATTTTCAAACAGCTAGAGAACTTAAAATCGACGAGCACAAAGAACCCCACTGAAAACTACCAACTTAGGCCTAAATCTAACCAGTCTGTATGCTGTGTGCTCAATCATGAACTGGTCACATGATAATATTTCTCTTTGCAAATGTGAAGTTTTGGTTTGTCTTGCCAACCCTACTGGTTTCTGCACTTGGACAGCGGAAGGAAAATTGTAACAGACCTCTTGGACTGATAGGAAGAAAATCTCCACATCAAATTGTTGCAGGATTGATTTGGGACTCTGTCCTCTGGTCTGTGAGTGCAGGTGTCTTAAAGATCCCTACGAGTCACTGCAGGAGCTGCAAAGTTTGTGCTTTGTGCACAACTCATATGAAACCTGCTCCTATATGGAAAGACCAAGCCATAAGGGATAAAACCTTGTGCAGTGAAGTCAATCCTTTGTTAACTTTAAAACATAACAGGAGAATCAAGAGAGGGCAGGAACCAAGAGACTTTATCACAGGACAAAACAACAGAAATGAAAAATCTCTGATGCTGGCCTGACTACATGGCCTTAGAATAAAGCCTGGTGAAACACATCTATGTCTTATGTATTCTGGTAAATCTTTAACCTAGCAGGTCTTATATCAAACATTTACAAGAAGAAATTAACTGAGAATTTCTCCCCAAAAATTATTAATTTCATGCCACTTTTTCATGGAAACAGTGAGTTTGGCGTGGCTGCCAGATCGAAGGACTGAGCTAACATGGGAATGCCCAGTGTGAAGTGATGTCTACTGTGATAACAAATCAAAATAATAATGTCACAGATATGCCACTGTACCACAAACATTCCACACTAACAAGATATGTATGACAGACATAACAGACAAACAAGATCTGTATCACAGACATGCAACACAGAAAACAGCTGTATCACAGACATGATGCATAAACAAGATCTGTATCACAGACATGATGCATAAACAAGATCTGTATCACAGACATGCCACACAAAATAGCTCTGTATCACAGACATGAAACACAAACAAGATTTATTTCACAGACATACCACACAAACAGGATCTGTATCTCAGACATGCCACACAAACAAGATCTGTATTACAGACATGCCACACAAACAAGATCTGTATCTCAGACATGCCACACAAACAAGATCTGTATTGCAGACATGCCACACAAACAGGATCTGTATTACAGACAGGCCACATAAACAAGATCTGTATTACAGACATGCCATATAAACAAGATTTGTATTTCAGACATGCCACATAAACAAGATCTGTATTACAGACAGGCCACATAAACAAGATCTGCATTACAGACATGCCACATAAACAAGATCTGTATTACAGACATGCCACACAAACAAGATCTGTATCACAGACATGCCACACAAACAAGATCTGTATCACAGACATGCCACACAAACAGGATCTGTATCACAGATACACCATACAAACAAGATCTGTATCACAGACATGCTACACAAACAGGATCTGTATCACAGACATGCCATACAAACAAGATCTGTATCACAAACAAGACTTGACAACTGCTAATATGGTTTAGGAACACAGACTATAGATCGAGCACACACTGTAGCACAGTTTTATTCTTCGTTGTGTACCTCGATGTCACACTCAGGTTCGTCTTTAGTTTGTTACAGGAGGAGTCGATTGGAAGATTATAGAAGAGGAGAAAGATGGTCGTGTCGATAGTGGTATGATGATGATATCTTGCTTGCTGCATACTTCCCACGTGACTCTGATGCTTGAAAAATACAATTTTTGGAAACAGCTGTTCTTTTCTATACTGTCTTTATTGTAATACTTCAGCATTGTCACAAATAACATCAATGATATTCTGAATGATGCTGTGTTCTCTCTATAGTTACATACTCTTGAGGTCGCATTGTGGTCTTCATCTCTAATTACTTTGCTAAATGGCTGTAGTGTCTGTAACTGCCACCTGGCTTCTAGTGCTGTGGTACTAATGGCCTAATTGTAGAGTCTTAACATCTCCATAATGTTGCTTCCTAATATGTCTCTTTTAACTATGGATCCGTGTATCTTGTGTCTTGTCTCTGTAGCTCGATGTCTTGTTTTATTTCTCCTCTCTAGTGTCTGTCTTCGAGGCTCCATGTGACTGGTTCCTCTGCTTCTAAGTCTCAAGGACTGAAGGTTGAATTCTCTTTTTTAAGGGTCCATGTTACTAGTCCTTTCTCTTCCAAGTCTCGACAACTGAAGGCTTCTTTGAGGGTCAATATTACCAGTCCCTCCTCTTCTAAGTCTTGAAGACTGAAAAATAACTAATGTGGTTTGTTACTCATTATTTAAACTTAGATGCTGGAACGCTAGGTATTTCTTTTCTACTCTTCTGGAAATTTCTAGTACGTCTCAACATGTTTACTATGTGCGTTCTCATGTGGGATTTTATAACTATATCTCGACTGCATCAGATTTCATCATTCTATTCTGCGCATAAATATAGTAATTAAATTGACAGCTGATGTCATAGAGACTCCTAGAAAGCCAGTACAGCTGCATCCTCTTTGACAGGGCAAATCAACAATGACGTCAAATATTCATTTGCTAAGACCTGTTGACTTTCGTCCCATCAACTAATACGCAATATCCTACCTCCTGGCAAACAAGTGATGACGTCAATAGTTAGTTTTAGCGGGAAAAGAAGTTACCAAACTTGTTGATTCCGGTACATCTTAGCTTTGCGCAATATCCTACCTCCTAACAAACAAGTGATGATGTCTCCCTATTACAGCATTGCTTGGTAACAGTAATCTGTCACAGCAGAGATGAATTTACTCACATACATTCCTTCTTCAAGATCACCAACAAGAACAGCATCTTCTTTATCAGTTTCCACTTCAACAACTTTGAGAAACTGAACTGCAACACCAAGGATTAGGGAGGTTAAAAAAATGCAAGGTTAAAATTATGTTACTGCTTTGAAAGATACCACACAAACAAGATCTGTATCACAGACATGCCACACAAACATGATATGTATTTTCTATCTTCAAGATCACCAACAAGAACAGCATCTTTTTTATCAGTTTCCACTATAAGAACCTTGAGAAACTGAACATGCCACACAAACAAGATATGCATCACAAACAGTTGGTGTTGGTACGTTTTTAATATGGTTATTCTGTGAAAACCATGTCACAGTTGACTTTGACACACTGATGACTGCTCTGGCTTCATCGCACCACCTGCTTTTATGATCAAGTTCTGTCTGAAGGCTACCATTAACATGCTCTCAGTCTCTACATTAAAAAAAATCATCAGCATACGATAGTGTTCTTCCCATGATCTGCTCGACTGTGATTCTCATGGTTAATGTTGAACATTAAATTAAGAATCAGCATCAAAACACTTGGGACACTCCCATAAGTGCTAGGTCCCCATCTTTAGCAGGAAGAGAAGAGTTCCAATTCCGATGGTACCAGCAACCGTTTGATGTATATCCGCCTCATCCCTCCCTGTGTGTTGAGCGTCAGCCAGATCCTCTGGTAACTTCCCACAGCACCATTCTTCTCAGACCGCAACGATCTATCTGCACCTGTGCACTGTTTACTCGCTTCCCAAGGGCCTCACAATATGTAACTTCTCATACATCAATTTATCATCAAGTGGTCAAGAGTCAGCCAGTATATCTGCCTGCTTATTTCTAAACACACGGGCATGACCTGGAGAAAATATCCAAAGGATGCTAACTACCCAGGACCTCTTAGGTGATGCTTACCAGTCTGCACAAAGCATGTCTGTTTTCACCTTTCTCAACATGCTCTGAGAGTCAGTTACAATCTCATGGTGAAAATGTTGAAAAGTATCGGGGATAAAGTTGAACCTTGTGGCAGACCGGGGAGTATGGTATTTCACATATTTCCATTCAACTCTGCTAATGTGTCAATACACCAGTGTCCTACTAGGAACCCATAGCCTTCTCGATTAGATCAGCGTTGAGGTTCCTCGAAGTGTTTGTTGCATTAATATTGTGTTTTTCATTTAGCCAGTGGCATCAGGTTTCAGGTTGGGCTTGAGGCCCTCCACACCGTTCACTGTGGAAATCAAGAGTTTACACCCCCTAAACTTGAATGTTGCATTGTTATACTGATATTTAAGTTACTTTGACATGTTGCCTTTGATTATGAAGTTGTATGCTTCATAATTTTGGTAGCACTAACAAACTCACCCTACGTCACAATGAGTGTTGACTATCCACTCTTAGTCTTCATCTAGCCATTACATCATCGTTAGCATGCTACAATGAACTAGACTGGATGCATGCTACTGAAGCAGCAATAATTTAAGCTTCTTTCAAAACTGCGATTATTTGATTTTTTTTTAGTGGTTAATCAGGAAACAATTTTCTTTTAAAGATCTCTGCACATAAATACTTCTTTGACCTTGAACGTTAAAATAGCTTTAAAGGCTGATTAGGACTTTTCTCTAATCTACATTTGCTAGGTTTTTGTATTTAACATCTTTTTTTTAAATGCTTCTGTAATCATATTCACAAGTTTTTTTTCTCCCTGTCAGGGACCTAAACTACTCTACTTATTTTATATGGCTCGCTAGGAAGGCCAGCTGACAGACTCTACTACCCAAACACACTTAAGACGACACTCCGGCTGAGTACAACCATTATGTTTAATGTACAATGAACATAAGACGTATAACACTTCAACTGGGCTAAGCAGCTCCCATCCGAAGCTGCCTTGGCGATGACAGCTTTACAATCACTAATCACCCCAGGCCAGCTCCCATGGATCCAGGGGAGCACGACTCTTAGCTAACAGTGTCTCAGTGCCAATCAATCCGCCGTCGATTGCCAAACAGGACTGCAGCGATACACGAAAAGTGTATGGCCTAAGCGTGCCCGGACAGTGTTACCGCCATTACAAGGCGCGTCACCTATGATTAACTGCTTAAACAAATACTACCTGTAATATCTACTACACAAAGACCTTAACTCTCTCTACTATCTAGCCGACAACATTAAACTATCACAGACACTAACTACGAATATCCTATTTGTACCTAACCGTCACTAACCTAACCGTTACCTCGTCGTAAACTGTTGTCCTGTCTCTCTGTCGATAGGCACACAACCGTCGTCAACAACTGTCCGCTCACAAGTCTCCCAAAACCCGCTTGGACCAAGCCTTTTGTATTTCCCCCCGAGTTCATCGCCAAATCCGCAGCACTCCGTGTCCGGCTGAGTGAACTCGACCTGGCCTCTAAATTGGGCACGGCTTATTGCGAAACGAGCTATACGTTCACACACTGAGTTTGCGCTAGAGGTCAACTGGTACAAGCGTGATGATTCACTATGAGACATCTGTTGTGCTTCTCATAGCCGAACTGGCCTCTGACACTCCCTTACAGGTTATTGTTATTCCTTGTCTGCAAAGCACATTTTTATTTGTCACTTTCTTCTACGGTCTTTTAAATTCACCCATATTTTTTGGGAAGCATCACCTCTTTGATGGTTTTCTTCTTGTGACATTTCCCTTTGCATTTTGGTGAAATAGATCCCGTTCTGTCTTTGTTATGAACACATGGCTGATGGATGATACTGATGTTCTTGCTATGTCCTTGCAGATCTTGTCTGTGTTCACTTCTTCTTCTTCTTTTGTCATCTCACTGATACCTGGTTGTAGCCTAATGTCATGGTTTTCTGTATTTGCCTTGCGCTTCTCAGGTGTCTTAAGTGATGAATTTATTCATCTTTTTGCGTGTTTCAGCAAACACCATTTATCGATCTCTTTCCTGGGCTACCTCTCACCTTCCTCCCAGATTTTCAACTGTAAAAAGTCTCATATGCAGTCTGGTCTGGCTGCATTCTCACTAGATGGCTAAACCATTTCATTCTTTGTCTGTCAATATTATCCAGACATGGTCTTAAAATTCAATGTTTCTGGAGTAGTAGTGAATACACCACTGCCGGCTTGCTAGGCCTGTGGCATGGCGGGGCAGGACAAAATCTGACCTTGCTGGTTCCCGTCTCCTTCCAGGTGAGCCATTGCTCCATAAGTCTGAAACCTCATGGCTTCAGTTTTATGGCGTGCACCACGATGTGTTCACAAGGGTCACAATCTTCATATACTTTCTGAGAGTCATATCCATCTCTTACAGCGACTGGATCACAAATAATGCGTAGCCAAAACATGAACCCCCTGACTATAACTTAACTGATATACAATAATTACAGTTTTTGATTCACATATAAAAAGGATGAAATATTAAATCACCTAATAAATAAAACAAATAAATGAAAAGTGTAGCTTCCCTGTATAAACATTTTAATTGACAAGCGACAAAATTATAATTTGTTAAACTTATTTGCACTGTAGTGTAAGATGCATCATATAAGATTTCCATAACAAGGATTCCTGCTATATCTATCTTCTGCTTAAATACATAAATGACACTGGTTTACAACAACCACTACTTTACAATTACCTGTGTTTATGTATGGAATTTGCTCAGTTATGTCAAATGAAGCTTGTAGAACTCCATCAAAAGAATCAGGAACTCTTATCTCAATCATTGGTATAGCTGTAGAAAATTAGTGGAACATATTAACTCAGATTCAATACACGGACAGATAATACTGAAGAGCTACATGATCATACAATTACAAGCTGGTGCTGCAGAATCAGAAGTTCAACAAATGATTCATGACAATTCCCACACAGTTGATGTGATTGTCTATAAAGATGGCTCTGTGTTGGGAGGCAGACAAAGTGCATGGTGGTTCATGCCGAAGGCGAATGGACGTCACTTGGTGCAACAAAGCCTGGCATATGATATCCCAATATCTAGTTTGAAAATGGAGGTGGATGCAGTCATTGCTGCTGTCCGCTGGCTTGAACATCAGCTGTACACACATGCCATCATTGTAACTGACTAACAAAGTATATTGAGAGTGGATATAGGCATGATCTGTTCAGAGTGGCAAGCATCACTTCAAAGGTTCTGGATAGTTAGCATTCTTTGGATATTTTCTCCAGGTCATCTCAGTGTGTTGGGAAATGAGCAGGCAGACAGAAAAGCTTGTTATGCACCACTTGGTGGTGAAGTGATGTATGACAAGCTGGATGTTGTGGGAAGTGAGTGAACAGTGTCGAGGCACAGACTGATCATTACGGTCTGAGGAGAATGGTACTACGAGGAGTTACAAGGGGATCTGGCTGACGTTTGACACTCACGGGAAAGGTGAGACGGATATACAATCAGACAACGGATATATAATCAGACAGTTAGTGGTACCATCGAAATTCACAGAACATTCAACAAAACTATTACGAAATTCAAAGGTGAAGGGCTACTGAAAAGCTTAGGAAGCAGGATATTGGATAAGGAAAGAAAGGCATCCAGACTTAACAACATTATGCTAGAGAAAACAGGTCTAAGGGAAATCTGAGAATCAAAATATTAATATTTCTAAATAACACCTATAAAAATGCGTACACTGCTAATGACTTATTGACATTCCTACTTACAGCACTGTCAAAGAAGCAACAGCATTGTCAAAGAAGCAAGGAACTTTAAAATGTGAAGATTATTTCAGAATAAATCACAAATCTGAGAAAAGAGTTAAAACAAGATAAACCTGAAATGAAATTCGAGCAGAGTGCAAAGGTCACAAGCAATGTCCCATGGCACAGAAGTAATAAAGTGATCTGTACTTTTACTGTATAGCTAAACAAACACATTTTAGAGTGAAATATGAGGGACACAAACAACTAGAACAATTAAAAATTACAACAGATTTGGAAAAAAATGATTTTTTTTTTTTTACATTATGATAAAGCATATGACCTTAACAACTGTATGTGTTGTTATCTTCTGCAGTCTCTTCCATATTATACCACAACATCTAGTTTGAGAATGGAGGTGGAAGCTTTACTAGGCTTTGTTGCACAAAGGATCATCTATTTGCTATTGCTATGAACCCCCAATTACCACTTCTGCCTCTCAACCTGAGCCATCTGTATAGATCACATCACCTGGGTGGGCACTGTCATGAATCAGTTATTGAATAAAAAATTTTCTGCAATTCACACTGGCCAGTCTATGCATTTCCAGCCCAAAGTGATTAGAACCTTATACACATCTGTCTGCTGTTTGGATACTGACCCACTCCTCCCATCTAATTTTTCAAGCATGCACACATGTCAAATCATGTCTTCTGCGTCATCTAAGACTTTTCTTTTTTTAGTCTGTGACACTTAGCTCTATCAAGGATGTCAAGCAGGAGGTGTTTTAGGTCTGCGACTACTCTGATGTATGACCTCACCTGTAGCTTTGAACCTATCTTCAATAGTTGACAGAACAAGAATATATTGCATACATACTACTGGGGTATCTCTTGAACCACACTTTCTCATGTAATGTCACATTTGACAGGAACTGTCGGGAACAGAATCCTGCAGCTCTCAATGTAGAAGTCAATGTGCTTTTCAGTTGTAGTTCCAATATGGCAGAGAGCTGCTCTAAACAGAATGGTACAGGCAGACCAGTGGTGCCTTCTCTATGATGATGATGATGATGAAGGTGAATGTAGTGACATGAGCTTTTTGTCTTCTTCTTATAGACCATGCCATATGTTGTTGGTATCTGTCTCTATCCACAACTTTCTGTCTTGTGTAGTGTAAATCATTTTTGATACAGATGATCGTCCATGCCATGATGTCAAACTGTCCAGAATCTTCTATCAGTCTACCTCTCTACATCTGTTACCTTTCAACTTTTCCACCTTCACGATGTACCTCAGTTTTCTCCTTCTCATGGCATGAAATCCCCTGATCTAGGCAATCTTCAAATTGTTAGGGCTAGCATCATATAATGATTACACTTCAAGACATGGAAAAGGATACTTCACTTGACTTAATGAAATGCAAGGGACTAAGCACATAATGGGAGATGTATCATAGACGAAAGAACAAGCCCAATTTTATTTTTTGAAATGAAGACTTTAAAAAGTAAGTAAATTTTACTCCCCAGGACATTACACAGAGCGGTAAACACACGGTGACACAAAGTACCACCATGCAGATGAGGATCACCCGTGGAGATGTCTCAGAAACCGCGTTCAACCGTCAGGCTATATTGCGGCCCCAAGCAACAACCAGGGTGGGGCTTCAAAATAATGCATCCACAAGGGAAACGACAATTATGAATGACTTGATCTAAAGAGAAGACTTTCATAAGTTTCTGTCACTGGATGTTGAACAAACAATTTCGCAAGTTGAGCACAGCAAATTTTAACACACAGCTGTGAATCTTAAACAATTATTAACCCAATAAAAAATCCCTTAATGCTTCAGAGGTGTAGTTTTATATAAGAAAGCTAAAGAAATATTGTACAGCCAAAACAAGTAACCTAAATGACAACTCACAAACACTAGAAAAGGGCAGTAACCAATTACGTAATTATTCAGTTTCGTCCTTTTTAGGACGAAATTTTTTGTTATTTGAAGCCCCACTCTGGCTTTTGCCAGGGGCCGCAATATAGGCAGGCCATAAATATGGCCAAATGTCTGAACGCGGTTTCTGGGACCTCTCCACGGCGATCCTCATCCATATGGTGGCACTTTGTGTCATCGGGTGTTTATCGCTTGTGTGATGTCCTGGTGGGGTAGAAAGTCAGTCAGTCAGTCGGCAGTAACCAATGTTTGGTCACCTCATGGAAATAGAAAAACCTGTAAAATTTTGCAACGATAGGAAAGATTTATGCAAACAGAGATAGAAAAAGGCAGACTTTCATCACTGGCTGGAAAAGTGTCAGGACATGGACAGACATATTCTGTTGGAGGTTGCTAGAGAAGATGACTTGCCAGTTAGCAAAAGCACCAAATGATGAAAATAGCAAGGGAAAAGAATGTATAGAACGAAAACAAATAACTAACAGGTGGAACCCATTAATTTTGCGGTCAATCTAGGAGATGTAACATGAGTTACTTACCTACTAAATCTGGCCCTTTAATCCGTATAAGCTGAATATTCTGCTGGTCAACATGCAAAACTGCAGTAATGTAGGCTCTGTTCTCTAGAACTGTCATACCCAGGATACCATAAGATGTCACATGGACTGACTGCAGTAATGCCTAAAACAGAAATGGTGAATTGCAATATAAAGGTAAACAAATCAGTTTCTTATAGCAAAACCTAAGTAAAGCTGTTATAAAGTGGACAATCATTACTAACAAGATTTGCCAAATACAAAATATTATGTATCCAAGAAGCTCAATGGAATGATCGGAAAAGTCATGCACAAATACAGCTAAATATATCAACGGAGTACCAAATACAACACAACTGTGATTTGAAAACTCCATAGACAAGTTAACAAAGCTTCTAAGCAAACAAGGTCCACAACCAAGAAATATGTAATGGGTGGAAAATATGGACAAACAGGGCTTTACTTCGAAATTAAAAAGTAAGATGGTTTAAAAAACACACCCTAAAACCAAGAGGATTCAGATGACAAATGGACATGTTCTGCCTCTAGACAGGTATACTCCTTTGCCTGCTTTAACTGATGTTTATGAATGTTGATGTTGGTATTTCTTCCTTTTCTGGAGAATGATATCACTTATGTTTTGCCTACACTGACTTTCATATTATACTTTCTGCACTTCAAAAAGATTTTCATTTAGTAAACCTCCAATGTTGTCCTCTTTGCTGCTGTTAGCTGATCTGCAAATTTGATCGACACATGTGATAAATTTGCTGCTGGCACATGCTTCCCCCATGTCTGTATGTTGTTTGTCTGCTTGTGTATCTGCGTGTGTGTCTGCGAATGTATGCGTCTGTGTCCTTGTGTATGTGCGAATGTGTGTGTGTTCGCGCGTATGTCCACGTGTATGTTTCAGTGTGAACTGGTTTCTTTTTCTGCATATTTGATGTGACTGTGTGTGTATCTTCATTTGTGTCTGTGTGTGTCCCCGTATGTGTTTGTCTTCATGTTTGTCTGTGTATGTTTATGTGTTTTGTCTGCGGGTGTGTCTATGAGGCTGTATGTATGTATCTCTGTGTGTGGGTGTCTGTATGTCTGTCTGCGTGACTGTATGTGTCAGCATGTGTCTGTCTGTCTGTGCATGTCTATGTGTGTTTCTCTGTGTGTGTTGCGTGTGCCCCTTTGTTGTCTGTATGTGTCTGCATGTCAGAGTATATGTCTGTGCGTGCTGAATATATGTGTCTGCGTGTGTATTTCTATGTGTTTGTATGAGTATGCATTTCTGTGTGTTTGTCTCTGTGGCTGTATGTATGTGTCTGCATGTTTGTCTGCGTATGTGTGGTGTGTGTGTCAGTGTGTGAGCACGAATGTAAATATGTGTGCTGTGTGTTTCCCTGTGTGTGTTTATATGTAAGTGTCTGTGTGTGTGTAATTTTGTCTGAGTGTTTGTGTCTCTGTGGGAATGTCCGTGTGTGCATGTGTGTGTCTCCATGCATGACTGGATTTATGACTGTATGTGTGTATGCCTGTATTACGTATGTATGTATGAATGTATGTATGTTTGCCTGTATGTTTGTATCTATGTATGTATGTTTGTGTGTACGTATGCCTGTGTGTATGTGTGTATGCATGTTTGTTTATATGTATCTGTGTATGTATGTATGTAATGTATGCATGCATGTTTGTGTGTGTGTAAGTGAGTGGGTGAGCGTGTGAATGCGGGTGTATGTATGCACGCGCGGGTTTTTGCATGCACTTTACAACTCATGCTTTTGTGTTCTTTTATAATATTCATAATATGCATAACATCATATGATCATAACATGCTTTATTAGTAAAATACAACTGCTGTGCGAAAGATGGTTGACTGGAAGGGCCGAATGTAAGACGGGCCTGCGTGCCCAATTTGTGACCCTTTGAAAATAAAGTTAGTTTGTTCTGTACATAAGAAGAGAAGAACTAATGAAATTTAAAAGATTTTAATATCAAGAAAGATTGGCTAATAAACAGCACTTGTCTCGGAAGCTGAAATATTTTGGTCTTATCTAGCGCCATGGTACCAGGAATGAGGGGCAGGGGCCAACCAACATGAAGATGGGCACAGGATGTAAGTGACTCCTTGAAAATGAAAGTATATTAGGTGGGAGAGCCAGTGAGAGACTGCGTTTCTTTCAGGCAGACAGTAATGACAGCATCGTTCTGCAAAGGACATGAAGATGATGATGTGATGAACAGTGGTGGTGATAAAACTCACCCGTCTCCCTCCAGATCTAATATTAAACTTGTCTGATATTCCTATGCTCGTTCTAGCTGCTCTCGGACTGTTTAAATATAAGCTCTTGCACAATTTAATAAGATGTTCATATACTCAGTGATCTTGTGGTATATTCCATAATTTGTTCCTATTAACTCAAATGAAAGCTTTCTCTTGATCTATGAATGCGATGTGTTATTCTTTATCGAATTCTACCGTCACTTCTACTAACTGTTTAACTGTAAACATTGCTTCAGTACAGCCTCTGTTCTTCTGAAATTTCATCTGTGTTTGAAGGAGTCATACCCACCATATAGTAAATTGCTGCTGGCACACACTGCCCCGATGGTTGTACAGCTGCCGGATCCTCTGAATGCGGACTTAGAAACTTGTGAGACATCAACCAACCAGTTTCAGAATACAGATCGTGGAAGGCACCTAGCTTACCTTCACTGAAGTGCTGTCAACAGATATCATATACAATCACATGATCAGTCTGCCCACACACATATTCAGAAATTAAATGTACACAGCTCAAAGTTATATGTCATATTTCAGTATAATCATGCAAGCAACATGAATATCCTCAAAATTAAAAAAAAAATAATTAATGCTCATTATACATGTAAAATCTTGAGAACGTTTCGGTGAGTCACTAGCAGAAAACAGCCAGCAGAAAATTCTCAAAGTAGTTAAAAATATGCTGAAAAGAGATGAGAGCTACAACCCCACTGAAATAAATAATGATAAGACAGGAAGGCCATTGATAGATCCACCCGAGATAGCAGAAAGATGGAGGGAATACTTTAATGAGCTCTTTAATCCTTTAGGAGATCATCAGGAAAGAACAACTGAAGAGCACAGAGCAACAGTGTTAGAACCACACATACTAATGGATGAAATAGAAAAAGTCATTAAACAGTCTCCCAAATATAAAGCACCAGGAGCTGATAGATTACCAACAGAAATAATTCAAGCAGCAGGTGAAAGCAGCATCAGATGGCTTCACAGAATATTCAATGCAGCATGGGTACAACAAACGGCCCTATTGATTGGCAACATGCAATAGTTATACCATTGTGGAAGAACAAAGGAAGCAAACGAGAATGCGGTCAATATCGAGGCATCTCTCTTTTAAGCCATGTTGGCAAAATGTATGCCAAGATAATAGAAACAAGACTGAGACCAGTGATAGAACCACAGCTGGCAGAAGAACAGATGGGATTTAGGAGAAATAGAAGCTGCACAGATGCAATCTTCACACTTAAACAGTTAATAGAAAAGAACATTGAATACAATAAGAACTTATTTGTAGCATTCGTAGACCAGGAGAAGGCATTTGACAGAGTCGACAGACAATTATTATGGAAAGTAATGGCAAGATATGGAGTAAGCGAACACTTCATCGAAGTGTGCAAAAGTTTATACAGGGATTGTAGAAGTGTAGTTAGAATAAATCAGGGAACATCTCATCCTTTCACAGTGACATCTGGAGTAAGACAGGGGTGTGTCTTATCACCACTGCTGTTTATCACCTACATCGACAGTATATGCAAGAATGCCAAGCTCATGAATGAAGATCTTGGTAAGATCAACGAATTACTCTTTGCAGATGACCAGGCCTTGATAGCAGATACAGCCATGAAATTGCAACAACATCTAACATCCATGAATGAAGAATGTAAAACAAATAATATGAGAATCAACACTGAAAAGACAGAAGTAATGTCAATAGGAAAAAAGAAGACAGATCTAAACATAGCAATAGAATACAAAGGCATTAAACAGGCATCTGAGTTTAAATAACTGGGAACTACATTTACCGAAGATGGGAAATTGGATAAAGAAATTAACATTAGATGCAGTAAAGCAAACCAAGTATTGGGACAGCTAGCCCCCCTCTTACAGCATAAGACAATCCAAATCAGCCCAAAGAGACATCTTATTCAAAGCATATTTATTCCAACTCTGTGCTACCAGTGCCAGACATGGTCACTCACAACAAACCATAAAAGAAAATTAGTAACCACGGAAATGAGGTGTCTGAGAAGGGCTGTAGGAGTGACCATAAGAGATAAGATCAGGAATGAGATCATAAGAGAACAAGTCGGCACAGAACCAATTCTGGATTACATACAAAGACTGCAAGTGAAATGGTTTGCCCACTTAGAGAGAATGCCTTGTGACACCATACCATACAAAGCATACATGGAAAGAGAAGAAGGACGTAGAGCACGGGTAGACCAAGAACAAGATGGAAGGATAACATCAGAGAAACTCTACAACAGCATGATGTGCCTATGGTCGAGGCAGCCAGAAGAGCTAGAAACAGAACCTTATATCTCCCTCGACACCCACAGTGGTAAAAGAGGAAGTGAAGAAGAAGAAGAAGATACATGTAAAGTCAAATGGTGTACACTTACCATATGTCAAAGGTATGTATATTTCTCTAGAAGGGAAAGCAAAACTTTTCAAACATTATAACATGCATCTTAGAGAGTATCTGCTAGATTTATTCACACTTTTCCTTCTTGTGTTTTGTGAGTCCAACATGTCACATACTGAAATGGTGACTAAACTTACTTGTGGCCTTTCAGTTCCTCAGCTTATTGGCCCACCTTAAGAGATTGGCTAGCCCTGCACAACTGGGTGGAATACTGATGCATGATAAGGCAGAAGTGGTTAAGGCCTTAATAGCAGCATGTGTAAAATTCAGGAGATCAGACTGATCATCATAGTCTGGTGAGAGTGATGCAGCAAAGAATGACAAGGCCAATACTTGACGCTCAGGGAAAAAGTAAGATGGATGTATAATCAGACTACTACTGGCACCATTCGTATTTGAACTCTGCACTGGCTGCTCAATGTAGAGACCGAATGCTTATGGGAATGCCCCGAGTGCTGTGATGTTGGTTCTTGAATTGACTCAGCTCAACTCATTTCCAATGCTTGTGTTTTCGTTTTTCCAGTTCAGATGCTGAGGTCCTTGTTTCACAGCCCTGTGTAGAGGTACTGACAACTAGTGCTTTAAGCACTTGCATTTTTATTTCAAAAGAGAAGTCTTTGAATCTCCATAATACTAGCTGTTTAGCAATGGCTGATGTTGTTAGGGCAATTCTAGATGTGATTTCTGGTCTGGATCCTAGGACATCTAGAATGGATCCTAGATATTTTAAGTGATTCACTCCTTTGTGACCTTTTATCTATGGTGTTTTTATGCCAGTTGAATTATCTATCATTACTTTAGTCTTATCTGCATTTATTTCTACACCCTTCTTAGATGTTTCATCAAGTCTGCCTATGAATTCAGCTATCTCTTATTTTTCTACGGCCAACCCATTAATCATCAGAAGCTTTGGGAAATCATGAGGAATATGGGCTTTCCATCACATATAGTGCAGCTCATTAAAATGCTCTATCAAGACCAACAAGCAGCAGTCAGAATAGATGGAGAGACATCAGACTGGTTTGGCATCAAGCAAGGAGTCCGTCAGGGATGTGTGCTGTCACCGTATTTGTTCAACCTGTACGCCGAAAATATAATGAGAAATGTAAGAGATGATATAAACAAGGAACAATATGATGCCCTAAACATCGGTGGTCATGAAATACCAGAAATTCGTTATGCTGATGATACAGTATTACTATCAACATCACAAAATGGTTTAGAAAACTTATTAACCTCACTCCAAAGAAATAGTGAAAATCATAACTTATTTCTTAACACAGCAAAAACAAAGATAATGCATACAAACAAAACTGCCATGGAGAAGGAAATATATGTTAATGAGGAAAGATTGGAAGTGGTGGAAAATTTCGAATATCTTGGGTCACTGGTTACCAACAATGGTGACACAATGAAAGAAATTAAACGGCGACTATCAATTGCTCTTCAAAGACTAAAACAACTGAATAAATTATGGAATTGTACAGATAGAATTACAAAGGTCAGATTTTTAAGAGCATGCATCTTTCCCATTGCAACATACGCCTGTGAGACCTGGACACTTACTAAACAAGCGGAACAGCGCATAAATGCATTTGAATATAAATGTTACAGACAGGTTCTAAGAATATCTTGGGTAAAAGAAAAGAACAAATGCATCCATACTTCAAGAGCTGAATATTGAAGAGGGTTGGCTAGTAAAGACAATAAAACAAAGAAAATTGAAATATTTTGGTCACTTGAAACGTCATGGAGGTCTAGAGAGAACAATAATGGAGGGGTATATGCCTGGGAAGAGAGGAAGAGGAAGGCCAAGGAGAAGATGGGTGCAGGATGTGGCAGATGATCTCCAGATGGGTGTATCAGACGCAGGACATCTTGCTCATGATAGGAAGGTTTTCCGGAGGGTTGTTATGGCAGCGAGGTTCCGCGAGGGACATGCTACTGAATGAATGAATGAACCCATTAATACCTGCAATCTTAGCTACCTTCAAAATGTTTACAATATTCATTTTACAATATCTTGGATCTTGGCCATCTTGATAAGGACGTTTAAACATTCTTTTCTATACCTATACCTCTGAAGTATCAGTGAGTTTCTTGACTAGTTAACTGTCAGGAAATTGCAGTCAAATGGTAACACTCGTTCTACATAACATGAAAGAATTTCTTTGTGACCTCCAAAGATGTTTCTTAAAAAAAATAAAAAATAATTTATACATTCAGTTTTTGCTTGTCCTATTCTAATATTTCCCCCCCCCCTGTAATATATCATCTATCTGATGTTATTCATGTGCCTAAAAATGTAAACGTCTGTACTTTTCCCAAATTAATGTCAGTCACTTAAATCTTCATTTGAGAACAATATGTTTCTTTGATTTTACCATTACTTCTGTCTTCCCGTTATTCACTGATTAGTTGTGACTTACATTTAGTGTGTTTGTTTGAAACCACAATGATTCTAACTCAACATTAACAGCTAATGAGACAAGTGCAAATGGCTGTTCCAAATATTCACAGCTGCTCATATTTCTCTATGCTTCCACCACCCACTTTACTTAATTCAGCATCTCACAATTGCACCCACGGCTATCAATGACTGCTGAATATTTGGGAAGAACTTTTTGTGAAGGAAACTCATAAACATTCAGTTAATCTAGTCTGCTATCTCTCTCTCTCTGTGTCATGTCCATATGTGTGTGACTGCGACGAGTGGAGTGGAGTGGAGAGGAGAGAGAGAGAGAAAGAGGGAAGGGGAGAGAGAGAGAAAGAGAGAGAGAGAGAGAGAGAGAGAGAAAGAGAGAGACTGGAACAACCTGTGGTAGACACAAGATCATGCAAGCATGGCCATCATTAGGCACTGTAAGACAATAACAAAAAATGTGACAGGAATACGACTAGGAAAAATGGAAAATATAAAATTGTCACATTTTCTAGTACACAGAGATCTATTTCAACTATTTCAAATTGTAAAAACACACATAAGTAACTACCTAAAGCATGTCCTTGTCAACGAGTCTCCCCCCCCCCCCCCCCCCCACTTATTCTCTTGCTCTATAAAATGTTTACATGTTTCTAATGGAACAAACCTGTGTGCTGTATGTTATGTTGGCTGCCTGAGACTTTTCAGATCCTACAATATTCAAAACGAGCTCTCCATCCTGAAATGTTAAAAGAAGTAATTTGTTTGTGTGTGCAAAAACTTTCTAATTCAATCAGCATGTGCCCTACCATGAAGAATGAAATGACTTTCTGTATCATTATCTAAATCTGTTTTAACTTTATGGACGGTCTACACACAATAAGAGAAGAGTGTAAAGTGCACAAAAAAGGATAGAACAATAGACTACTTTTGTACTGCATTATCAAAATCATTCTGTTGTGCCATTTATACTTCACACCGGGCTAAAAATCTATTCTTCCATTCCTTTCTATCCTGTGAAATCGTTTTTTGATATCAGGGAGGGAATCTAGTCCACAATTTTGACCTCTTTCATCAATGTTTATTTTAGGGTTTCTCTTGGGCCTCCTTGTTTCCATAATCCATTTGTTTCACATTTCAGAATCTGTCTGATGACTCTCCATTTGCTTCTACTCAGGATATGGTCAATGTATCTAATCTTCTTTGTTTATAAAGGTTCATACCAGCAGCTGTCCAGCTAATTATAACTTCAAATTAGCTTTAAAATAGCCATTTTGTTCACAAGAAAAGTGACCGAAATGCTTTTTGTGTGTGTGTGTGGTTTTAAAGTAAATATATTTATATACTGACCTAATGCTGTAGAGGAGTAACACAAGAATAGTGTAAACACGGCATCTTGATAACACACCACTGTAGAAACCGCTGGGTAAGTGAAATTTATGGGACTGAGCGACTGCTAGATATGTTGGATCTGAAGCTTGTGTGGGCAAAAGGTTTCACTCCTTTTGTCTCTAGTGTGAAATCTGCTCGATCTGATGATTTGATTTGTGAACTGCATTATCTAAAACTGGCTAGTGGCCAGTTCCCACAGAGCTTGTGGTAATGACTTTTGCAGCAATGCATGTGCAACTAGTGGTAGGCTGCGACTGCTGCTTCCATAAATGATGAACTGCAACTCTAGTGGAGGACTGTTGGTGCTGACATTTTTGGTGGCTGCCTTTTTGCATGTGGATGCTGTTGGCTTTGCCAAGAACAGCTGTCTGTCCAACTTTTCATAAGAGTCAGTGAAAGTCCTTTTGTGTAGTTTTTTTTGCTGGAGTAAGTACGCAGCAATAATAGAGTTTGCTGTAAAGTTCAAACCGCAGTTAACCACTAAAAGTTGTCTGGAGTAAGGAAGCAGTAAGGACAGCTTGTGGAAATCGGTGTGACAGCAGAGATGCAAGTAATCGTACTAAAATAATAAGGTGATTTGAAGGTAACTTTAAGTTTAGGGCCAAGTAATCCAGTGTAATGATGAGTGGGTTTGTTGGGGTGAGAGTTTTAGGAGTTGCAGTTTGTTATAAACAAGAAAACATCTTTTGGGATGAATTATACCCCTAAAAAATATCATATCAAACTGTACTTTGAATTTTCAAAAATAGTATGGAACATGGTTCCTCACAAAATGGTAATGTTCAGCAGACAAGCTTACAATGAACTGGAGATGTGATTCCTGACCAAGACAGAAAATGGGCATCAAGAAGTTGATGAAGAGATGGAAGAAGAGCATCACTATAAGAGGTAATCACACAAAGGATAACAGTTAATACTCAGGTGTGTGGCTTTACTCTTTCAAACTAACATATAAAATTAAGCATTAGCTGGTTCATAGATTGCTGGCTCTGCAGACTCAGACGTAGACACATGTAAAGTGACACTAACAAACAACCAGCAGGTAATCTCATACATTCATGGCTATTAATAGTAAAGCACACAATATATTTAATTATAATGACAATTTTCACCTTTAGAGTATTATGGTATATCTTTGAGATGTTTCTCCACGTGACCTTTACAGCACCCGCACTGTTTAAAATATCCTTCGTAGTGACTGTCACATTCCAGATCTGAGTAAGATTGTGATAAATTTCTACTCTCTCTACTGGACCTCTGCTTGGAAAAAGAAACAGAATGCATAATTATACATTTAACAATAATTTAATTTTTTTTTTAAAAGTGTAAAAATACATACAACATAAAAAACCATCAGCAAGTGCCAAGGTGAACCGATTCAGACATGTGTCAGGATGGCCAGTGCATCAGACAGCCCTGTCACTTAAAAAAAAAAAGTAGATCTAGAGGTTATCAACACAAATTTTTTCAAAACACAACATTGACAGGAACAGAGACTAGAGAAAAGAAAAAACCTGATAGTTGAAGAATTATGAACAATAAATAGAAACTGCAAGGATATTACACTAAAACAAGCAAACCCCAGCAAACAATATCTAGTCTAAAGTAAAGATGCTTATATCATCATCAGAAAAAATTTATAAAATAGAAAAACAACCCATGCACAAGCAACTATTAAAATCACAGACCTCTAGTTTAAAAAGGCTAACATTTTCCAGACTGCCAAAGTAGAATTAGGCTAGCAATATGAGCTTCAACTCCTCGATCAAAGGAATACAGTCGCTGCTCATCATGAGTACCCACCTTGGAACTCCAAGTCCACAGATAAGAAACACCACAAATGGAATTCTGGCCAAAGGAGAACAGACTCCCTTAGAAATGCAGTCAGCAATGGAACATGAAAACAAAACTATCCCCAAAACAGATTGATATGGGAATTCAAGGATGCTCTCAACATGAAGTAGAGAGGTCATAGGTCTAGTCAGCTGGCATCCCACTGGAACCAAGCTGTATGTACGGATCAGTGGAGGACATGCATCAAACCACAACCTTCATAGAGGCCTGCATGTTTCATCAGAAAACTACTGGCAGGGAGAATGAAAAGATTTCATCACAATCAGATCAGATTTAGACATAGTAATTTACAACTGATGACAAGGCAGCAGCAAGCCAAACACCCCCCCCCCCCCCCCCCCCCACCTTTCCAATAATCCTAACATCTTGAACTTAATACCAATTGTACTACCATAGCATAGAAAGGCAGAAGAAGAAGACTACCATAGCACACAGCTACAGTTTTGACTAAACAATCAAGACACTGCCAAAGCAATCAGTTCATACAGAATTTGATCTAAGCATTAGCTGATTCATAGATTACTGGCTACGCAGATTCAGATGGTTTCCAGAACAGTGTCCTGCATCCTAATATACTTCTGCCAGTTTTTCCCGATGAATGAATCAATTAATCAATTAAAAAAAAAACTGAAATCACTGCACTCTGCATATTTCAACATATACTCTGTTTCCTTCCTCAGTATCCAATGAAGAGTTCTTATGCTAATAGCGCTAACGGCATCAGGTATGGATACTCAGCCTGTTCTGTGTACAGCCATTCATTAATATCCTTCATCAACACCGAAAATGTTTTCATTTTGCATTCTTACTCTTCAGTATATATATTTAATAACAAATTGTGGCCACTCAACCCTCTCTTTAACACTACAATAAGCACACCCCTCAAGTTCCCGCTCTTTCCATTTTTCAGGATATTCCTGGAAAAAATCTTTAGAAAGACAACCAGTGTATATGTCACACACATAAAAATGCACAAAATCAAATTATCATCCTAAACATAAACAAATATTACAGAGAGTAAGGGTCATCATCATCATGTAGCAGGTCCTTTGCAGAACGTTGCTCTCATCACTGTCTGCCTGAAAGAAACTCAGTCTTTTGCCAGCTCCCCCACCTTGTACTTTCATACTCAAGTTTTGTTTAGCACTCTGTGAAAACCTAGAGTGATAAACTAACCCAGAAACATATCATAACTTCTGAATATGTTAGGAAACCTCATATACTTCAAAGTATTATTCTCAAGTATGGATATTCACTGCTCTTGTGGCTGCAAAACAATGTTGTCTTTGTAAACATAACACCTTCTGAATTCTTTTTTTGTACTAACCATAACAGTATTAAACAAATACATATCATAAGATGCAAAACGTACATTTATCCTCTTTAAAAAAAAAGAAACTTTTTTAGGGATTAGAATTATGTTACATTCTCAATTGCTTTTTATTTTTTGATACCATGCCTCTGCCATTTTTGTAAAAGGAAACTAATGTTAGCCAGATCTGTCAACATTCATAGGCCTGAAAGTGTTAATGAATATACTGAGCACGGATAGGGACGTATGAGTCTATGGTATTACATGTTGACAAAGCCATAATCACAGCAGATACTAATGATAGTTTTAGAAGTTTAAAAACTAAATGGAAAAAAACAATACTTACAAAATATTACAATTCATTATGAAAATACATCAGCTAATTATTATCCAATAAGAAAAAAGAAATCCATCTCTGTGACAGAATGCATGGTTGAAACTTTGCACAATCTGTACATTTCCTGAATATGTCAGGTAAATTTTTAATCCCAGAAAACCAAAACATATCACAATTTTTTAATTAACAAATAATTTTAATGTCAGTTGCACCAGGCCACATTGAAAAATACATTTACTTATTTTTCTCATCAAAAAAGAATATCTTATTTTTAAAATGTATTATTTTTTTAAAATCTAAAATAAATAAGATACAATTAAATCAGCTGTATCAGCTAAAATGTTATGAATCAAAATAAAGAATACAACAATTGGAAAAAAAATATTAAAAAAAAAAAAAAGGAAGGAAAAACTAAAAGATAATCTAGTAATTATTTAAAAAAAAAAAAAAACAACAAACACCATAGATACAAATTACAAATACAGACACAGTACTAGGAAGCAGTGCAAAGTACCATACACTTGAAATTTGAACATGTAATACTAGATCAAAGGTTAGGTCTTTCCATTAATTAAGCTAAGACCATTTTATCACTTCCTACCAAAACCATATCTGTCAATCCCAGTAGGTTAGTTGCGTATCCTTTACAGGACGTTGCGGAACCAACCCCAACAGCACCTGGCTGTTGTGTGGTTTTTCTAAGCAAATTTACGTCCAGTAGTTTGCCACTGCTTTCTGGACGGTCAGCTTTCTTGATACCACTGTCGAAACCAAGACAAGGCGCATGGCCCGCAGCTGGGATCGAACCCGGCATCCCGGCATTATGAAGCGTTCGCATCGACTTAGCCACAGAGCCAACGTCAATCCCAGTAATTCTTTAAATATATGAACAAAAATAACAGCTTTACAGAAAAAGCGGGAAGAAAAAGAAACAAACCAAGATGCTGCTTTACAAACAACACAACTGCAATCAATTATTCAATACAGAGCTTTCATTTCACTAGTATCACAAATGAACATAGCAAAACAATAAAAATGAAAGAAAATATACAAATAAAAACATTTTACCAAAAAGTGAAGGCTTAGTTTTGTCAAAAGAAAATAAAGGAAGCAAAAAAAAAAAAACAAAATAAAAAATATTTTAAAAACCCAGACAACACCAGGTAACAACAGTATATTCAAGACAATACAAATCATGCTGAGTTAATATGAAGAAGTATAAGACCACAATTCTACACAACAGGGGCTTCACTCTGAAATGTGAACATCGATTAGACATAATACTCACAAGTTCAGGCCACTGGATAATTCAATACTCAAATCGTTATGAAGTAGATCAAAAGATAAGATGGCCTCATGGTCAGTCTGCAAATGGCAGGTTAGAATTCCAGTGAAAAGACCACACTGACCTATGTAATACTGAAGTGTGAGGCACAGGAAAATTTGGCAAAGATGGCAACAGATAACCTCCATAGTTTTCAAAGAAAATGTAATAATCAAGATAAGCCACAGAATAAAGCAATGAAATCTGAAAAATAATGAAGAACCGTTCAAACAGTGGGATACTAGTGCAACTGTCCAACAGTTACATGTTATCATTGTACAAAATCGTATATATCTGTATGTAAAAAACACATTCAGGATATTGATAACTTAGCAAAATATAAATAAAATACAATTGAGAAATATAACAAACATTAATTCCACTGATTTTAGGTCAAGTAAGACGCCTCCTTTCCTCCGCTAGTCTACGGGACACCCTTGGGCAAGGTGGAGTACCCGTTTAGCCCCCCAATCAGGGTTACGTGAAGCCATGGAAGCAGGTGGTGGATGGAGTGTAAGAGCAGCCGACAGGTATTGTTGGTTATGGTCTGCACTCTGCGGCGATAGGCAGATGATCTCATCGGTAGAGACAATGGCTATGGCCACCGACTAGTATAGTCACTGCTCAGGAGGAAAGCAATGGCAAACTACCTTCTGCAAATTTTGCCAAGAACCCATAACAATCATGAAAGAAAACATAACACAGAAGAGATCTGGTGGCGAGACCCCCAGGCCAGGCAGATCAGATAACACTGGGGAAGAGTGTGATACAGGGGTCGGTACTAGTAATCGTGATGACGGAGTTAATCCTGACTGTGTTACCAAGGAAATCCACTGTGTCAGACTAAGAAACAGAATGCGAATAGGAACGTGGAATGTGAGAAGTCTGTATGAAGGAAAGCTTAAAGTAGTATGTGATGAGATTGAAAGATTAAATATTCAGATCTTAGGAATTTGTGAACATCGTTGGAGTGGCAAGGGACATTTTATCAATGAATATGGAAGCTTTTTCGTATATTCTGGTAGAGATGTAAGAGGCCAGAGCGGAGTGGCATTTTGTTTAGATAAAACAACAGCAAAAGCTATTATGGGATATAATCCAGTTAGTGATAGAATCCTAACTATCAGACTTAAAGGCCGTCCAAAAAACATAACTTTCATGCAGGTATATGCACCAACTTCAACAGCAGAGGAGGGCGAAATTGAAGATTTTTATATGCCATACTGCAAGACACATTAAATAAAATTAATCAGAATGATATAATAATAATAATGGGAGATTTTAATGCTAAAGTAGGTACAGGCAGAGATGAAAATGAGAGACACGTTTTAGGAAAATTTGGATTGGGTAATAGAAATGAAACAGGAGAAAAATTGATTGAATTTTGCATAGAAAATGAATTAACAATAGCTAACACACTTTATAAACAACACCCTAGAAGGCTTTTCACATGGACATCCCCTGACGGTGTTACCAAAAATCAGATAGATTACATTTTAATACAAAGAAGATGGAGATCGAGCATAACATCTGCAAAAACCCTGCGAAGTGCAGATTGCGATACAGATCATCAGTTACTAGAAGCAGATCTAAAATTAAAACTCAAAAAGCTTACCCGAGGACCAAGGCCATTTCGATTTGATCTCACAAAAATACCAGATGCATACAACGTAGAAGTGAAGAACCGTTTTGAGGTCTTGATGTCTGTACAAGAGGAAATGACACCTGATGAACTGGCGGTACAAGCTAGGGATATCTTGATAACAGCAGCTAAAGACTTAATACCCACCAGGACTAAGCAAACATAAACCATGGATCACACCATACACGTTAGAACTAATAAAACAACGAAGAGAACTGAAAAAGAAAGGAGAAACCAATGATAGTAGGATGAAGTATAAATTTTTACACGAGAAATAAGAAAGTACACAAGAAAGGATAAAAAATCAGTATGTACAAGATTGCTGTATTAAAATAGAGCAGCATCACAAAAATGGAAGAGATTACGAAATGTTCAAGGAAATGAAGTTATTGACAAGAAATTTTCAACCTCAGTTAAATGTTATTTGTGACAGGTTGGGAAATACTTTAACAGAATCTAGACAAATTCTAGGAAGATGGCAGGAATACTGCAGCGGAATGTATGATATGAATGACAGTGAGGATATGAATGATATACATGAACCAGTAACAGTAGAGGCAGAACCTGAACCTTCATTAGATGAAATTTCATGGGCAATAAGGAGCCTGAAAAATGGTAAATCACCTGGATGTGATGAGATACCAGCTGAATTGATTAAAGCGGGAGGAGAAGAAAGCATAAAAATCTATCATGCATTATGTGAAAAGATATGGAAATATGGTATTTGGCCAAAAGACTGGAAGAGAACTATCTTCATTCCAATACCAAAAAAGGGTGACCTGAAATTATGTACAAACTATCGAACTATTGCCCTGATCAGTCATGCAAGTAAAATTCTACTAAAAATTATAATGAGAAGACTGCAAAAGAAAATGGAAGAAGAGATTAATGTAGCTCAGGCTGGATTTAGACAGGGAAGAGGAACAAGAGATCATATATTCAACATGCGTTTAATAATAGAGAAGTGTAGAGAATTTAATGTAAATCTGTTCTTATGTTTTGTGGATTATTCAAAAGCATTTGACTGTGTACGACATCAGAAGCTTTGGGAAATCATGAGGAATATGGGCTTTCCATCACATATAGTGCAGCTCATTAAAATGCTCTATCAAGACCAACAAGCAGCAGTCAGAATAGATGGAGAGACATCAGACTGGTTTGGCATCAAGCAAGGAGTCCGTCAGGGATGTGTGCTGTCACCGTATTTGTTCAACCTGTACGCCGAAAATATAATGAGAAATGTAAGAGATGATATAAACAAGGAACAATATGATGCCCTAAACATCGGTGGTCATGAAATACCAGAAATTCGTTATGCTGATGATACAGTATTACTATCAACATCACAAAATGGTTTAGAAAACTTATTAACCTCACTCCAAAGAAATAGTGAAAATCATAACTTATTTCTTAACACAGCAAAAACAAAGATAATGCATACAAACAAAACTGCCATGGAGAAGGAAATATATGTTAATGAGGAAAGATTGGAAGTGGTGGAAAATTTCGAATATCTTGGGTCACTGGTTACCAACAATGGTGACACAATGAAAGAAATTAAACGGCGACTATCAATTGCTCTTCAAAGACTAAAACAACTGAATAAATTATGGAATTGTACAGATAGAATTACAAAGGTCAGATTTTTAAGAGCATGCATCTTTCCCATTGCAACATACGCCTGTGAGACCTGGACACTTACTAAACAAGCGGAACAGCGCATAAATGCATTTGAATATAAATGTTACAGACAGGTTCTAAGAATATCTTGGGTAAAGAAAAGAACAAATGCATCCATACTTCAAGAGCTGAATATTGAAGAGGGTTGGCTAGTAAAGACAATAAAACAAAGAAAATTGAAATATTTTGGTCACTTGAAACGTCATGGAGGTCTAGAGAGAACAATAATGGAGGGGTATATGCCTGGGAAGAGAGGAAGAGGAAGGCCAAGGAGAAGATGGGTGCAGGATGTGGCAGATGATCTCCAGATGGGTGTATCAGACGCAGGACATCTTGCTCATGATAGGAAGGTTTTCCGGAGGGTTGTTATGGCAGCGAGGTTCCGCGAGGGACATGCTACTGAATGAATGAATGAATGATTTTAGGTCAGAACACACAGAACAAAAGAAAAATCCTACGCATCGTAACACAAAAAATGAAAACAATGACCTGTGCTCCAGAAAAAAACAACTTTTACAGCAGCAGCAGAGTCAAGGATAGGCCTCTTGAAGGTGTTTTCCGCCAGGACTGCAAAGTTGGTACTTTCGTACAAATCTGGTATTATTTGACCCTTGCTGAGCAAAACTGTACTGCTGGTACCATGACGATGTTTTGGTATCTTTTAGAAATTTTGCATCATTATTTTAAATATGAGCATTGTATGTTGGATCTAATATGTGTTACTAAAAAAAGACTGATGTCACTTATTCCACTAGTCGTGAAATTGTCCAGCCTTGTTAAAGAAAAACATTATGAACAAGTAAATAAAGAATAGACGGAACTAATAGTGTATTAGTAGGATCTATTCTTTATTTACCACTGTTTCTTTTGTCAATATCTGCTTATCCCGCTAGGTGCTTCATAATTTTGAAGAAGACGTACGATCTAATGCTGAAAAACACACCAGTACTGTTTTGATTTATAATTTCATTAAACAAATGTGGATAAAAGCATTGCTTTCCATTAGTTTCAACATTTATGCTTAGTCTTCTGGCACTACATCATTCCTCTGCATCTGTAGAGTTTTCCCTATGCTCAACAGATTTTAAGATTTAAAAAAGCGCTCTTCTTTGAAGACTTCAACAATAAATGCATTGATGAGATCAAGGTTATTGCACCAGGACTCTAACTGCATCCTCATGGAAGCCACCACAACAACTTTGTAACCAACTGAGCAAATAGAGCAAAAATAGTACAGCAATGATGTAATGGACAAAGAAATTCAATTCTAATCAAATATAAGGTACATCATGTGTGTGATTAATGATTAAAAAGGATTATCATCACAGCACTCCGGACAGATCCACGGGTGCTCCAATCTCCTCCTCAAAAGCTCCACAAGTGTAAAACGACTGATGACACCTGTTCTGTGTTGGTTAATGAAACTCTTGTCCCCTTAGTGAAATATTCATTTCTTGAAGCTCCAGGCTGCAAACTTCTCCCAGCTTTCTAACATGACAACAGAATCAAATGTTTTGAAGCGGCAGGGGTGATGTCATGATGTAGATGGACCGGCTATTTTCCTTTGCCACATGTTCTTGGACAAACACACCATTCATTTGGTTCAACCAGCCCCCATCCTGAACAGACTGGCTGTTCCTCAAGCTTAAAATGCTGCTCAGACTTGATCTGAGTCATGACAAGGGATGCTGAGGTACATCATCCCCTGGATCAAACTGATCAAGACCTATAGTCACCTCTCTCCACTAGAGACCAATATTGTCTTTGAAGTAGGAGCACATCTGTTTGAGAGGTGAAGAACCAACAATCTGCACACAAACAAGCCAGATCTGTCAAGCAAAACTAAAGATTAAAGTCAAGATATGGACAAAAAATCCAGGACTTTTTACTAGAGTTCAGAGCTGGTGAATTCAGAAAGAAAAGAAGGAGAAGATTCACGAGCAGCAAAAATTACAACTGAGTTGAACTTCATTCCCAAAGGGGTCAACCTGATTGGTACCAGTTCTGTAGCGTCAATGAACAAACACAGCAAGGATCAAAAAGTCTTGGAGACCCACTTTAGACAAGCTTTACTCTGGAAGTAGAACTTGACTGATTTTTACAATTGTTACAGTGCGTATTCTGTACAAATCATTCAAACGTATGGAAATAGGGGAAATATATGCACTTTATCCCAGTAGAATATGTACACCAAACTAAAGTACTTCACATGCACTCACTGAGGGCTAGTGTAATGTAATGTTCTCACCTGATATACGTCTTCAGGTCTGTATGGCCAATCTCCTGGCAGGTTTCCAAGGTAATGAGAACAATGACTCATGTTTTTTCTGGATCCCTGAATTGTTGGCCTGAAATAATAAAACATAACAGTCAGTATCATGAATACTTTATAATCAAATTATTGTGGTCATTACCAAGTGTATTCAAGCATTTATTGTTTAAAAGACTGATTTCTAAAACAGAAATTCAGTAATTTAATACTTGTATAAGTGGACAGTTTAAGCTCAGAATGCAGTAAATACAAAGTAAAGATCAATGTGAACAAAACCAAAACAATGCAAGTCAGCACAACCTTTGATCCACTACATCTACAGCTGAATGGTTCTGGCCTCAAACAAGTTAGGGAATTTAAATATCCAGGACATGTGATCATAAAAGATGGCAAAATTGTCAGAGAAACAGAAACCAGGTGTCAGAAATCAAGTGCACTTATATACCAACTGTCATCATTTCTAAGACATCCCGGGGAAGGGGAGGGGGGGGGGAGGAGGGGAGGGGAGGAGGGGGGAGGAGGGGGGGAGGGGTCTGGCCAATGTTCAACACTCACATGAAAGGCAAGACAGATATACAATTAGACTGCGACTGGTACCCTCGGAATTGGAATTGCGCTTGCTACTGAAGATGGGGACTGAGTGTTTATGGGAATGTTTTGCGTGCTGTGATGTTGATTCTTAATTTAACATTCAACAACAAAATAACAGTTTTGTCTCCCCTACTAACACTAACTGTTCTATCCCCTCTGCTAGCACTAGGGGGGAGGCTAGCACTGGGGGAGGCTAGCACTTGGGGAAGGCTAGCACTGAGGAGAGGCTAGCACTGGGGTGAGGCTAGCACTGGGGGGAAGGCTAGCACTGGGGGGGGGGCGGATAGCACTGTATGACTGCTCTTTAATCAATATTTGGATTACACAAAGACTTGTGAGTTTTAAAAGAAATACAAAATAAACACATTATTTTCTAGAAAATTTTATTGAAACAGTAATCACTGAATGCGTAATACCTGAGTCTGACTCTTGCACAGCTTGTATAAGTAATGCAGCTGGTATCATTGATGGTTCCATTCTGACTTGTCATGTCACAAATTTGAAGGTCTAGAAAATATTTTGATATAATGTTAAAACCAAGATAACTCTGCAGAGATAGATCAAAGACCGATATCACAGAGATAATAGTTATCTAAGTGACTAATTAGTCAAAGCAAAGCAATATTTACTGTAGTTGGACAATATTAGACAGATGCCTTCTCCAGCTGATGGGCCAAGTGGCAGTTCCGCTCAACTGTGCAAAGTGGCCGGACATAGAGTTTTTAGAGTTAAATGAATAGAGGAACTGATGCCTGCAAAGTGTTCAATTCCTCGAATTATCAAATTATGATACTTTCAGTGGATATGCGATTGTGTTTAAGTTTTCTTTGGATGCTTAGAAGAGAAAAATGGCTAAAACTGAAAGCTAAGTTGACTCACTAATTATCAGCTTATTAAATTACTGTATACTCTAGGTGACAGACAGGCTGAGTGGTTACTGTCATCTATCAATAAATGTGGAAATTTAGACACTTTAAGTATGTACGGATATTATTCCATTATTTGACGTGGATTTTGTGGATATTCACCAGCTAAAATGTAAGTAGTTTCTGTTGTAGTTTATGTTTCTCTGTTTTTCAAACTAAGGCCCTTATTTCCACTTTTTTCTCCATAATTTCTATGTATGGTGACCACAATATCTTGGACTGAAAAAGAGACATCCCACTATTATTTGGAGCTGAAAATTGGTCGACAAGAAGAATACTGTGAATGTACTGGATGGACAAAACAAGGATAATATTGCAAATATAGTGGGTGGACAAGAAAAACACTGCAAATATACTGGGTAGACAAGGATAATATTGTGAATATACTGGGTGAACCAGACTATTACTTCGAATATACTGGGTGGACAAGGATAATATTGCAAATATACTTAGTGGAAAAGAAGAATTTCGCAAATACGCTTGGTGGAAAAGGATAATATTGCGAATATACTGGGTGGACAATAAATACTGCAAATATACTGGGTAGACAAGGATAATATTGTGAATATACTGGGTGAACCAGACTATTACTTCGAATATACTGGGTGGACAAGGATAATATTGCAAATATACTTAGTGGAAAAGAAGAATTTCGCAAATACGCTTGGTGGAAAAGGATAATATTGCAAATATACTGGGTGGACAATAAATACTGCAAATATACTGGGTAGACAAGGATAATATTGTGAATATACTGGGTATATTCAAGAAATCGCGCAGCACTGCTCCAGGCCCTGACGGCATCCGATACAACGACATGCTGATGATGTCGAATGCTGATTTGAAAAGCGTGGCAAAGGAATTCAATATCAGCATCCAGAGTGGCCAGATACAAGAGGAATGGCTCCATAGTTATTTGTTTCCACTACCAAAGCCTAATAAAGACCACTCAAAGATCTGCGGCTACAGAATCATCTCGATGCAGAATACTGTTGGCAAACTTTTTGAAAAAATTGTCGCACAAAAATTGACCACCTACTTGGAACTACATGATAAGTTCCCACCAACACTTGGAGGGTACAGGTTCAATAAAGAGACATGGTTCAATGCTGCAGTTTTTGCCTACGATGTGTACGAGGGATTTCAGATTAAAGAAGAGACATGTGCGGCAGTGTTGGACTTAGAAGATGCCTACAATAAAGTACCATATGATTATTTAATGCAATTACTGCTTAAACTAGAAGTTAATCCTTTTCTGATCCGCTGGATTGCTGCGGTCCTGTTCCAGAGAAAGATTGTACTAAGATGTGGTAGCTGGTCCTCAGAACCGCAAACGATATGTCCAGGCTTACCACAGGGATCACCGCTATCACCAGTCTTATTCAACGTTTATACGGTGATGATCACTGAGCAGCAGTTGAATGGAAAAGGAAGGACTTTGTCATTTGCTGATGACATTTTGATTTATCGACGAGGGCGTGATAGACAGGAGATCGCCAGCACTATGCACAAAGAACTCGATCGAATTTGCCGCCTGGTGTGATGTTTCCAATGCCTATGTCAATCCTTCAAAGGCATCAGTGTCATGGTTCTCTTTGAACAATCACATTGTCAAGTCGGACTTACCAGAAGTGAAAATGCGTGATAATGTATTGATCAGAACCAACGTTATGACGTTTCTCGGGGTGAGGTTCGATCGCAGCTTGTCATTCAGGGAACACGTTGACCATGTGATAACAAAAGCACGCAAAGGTCTATCTGCAATGAGGATTATGGCTGCTTCCAATATTGAGCAAAGACTACTAATACTTCTATTCTACGGTCTGGTCCCTTTCCCCCATTGAATACGCTCTGGCCATCCTCACTGTCAGTGCTACCCAGATTGAACGACTCGAAAAGGTGCAAAATGAAGCCATGCGCATTATTTTGGGATGTACAAGAGACACATCATGTGGAGCAATGAGGTATCTGCTTGACTTTCCAACAATGAACCAAAGGATCAGGATGTGGAGGGCTCGGGCATATCTCAAAATATGTGCTGATAAGAAACACCCACTGCATCAAGCGCTTTTTAGTGAAAAGGGCGACAGACTGAAGAGGGGGAAATCGTGGCTAGGTCGGGCAGAAGATGTTATTAGGCAAATATGCAGCCTAACCGACATCATACCTGGTGCAGAATGGATACCTGTGCCTCAGGCGTTCATTTGTACATTTTCCTGTATTGTCACACTCAACAGGCGATGTAGAGAAAAGAATCCTGTCGCTGTTAATGCAGAGGTCAACGCTCTCATCGGTGAAAATTCAGATGAAGCAGATGCAATAATCTATACAGACGGATTCGTTATACGCCAAAGAAGAAGTGCATGGGCATTTACAGCACGCTCAGCGGGCAGAACAGTCAAAGAAGCCAACGGCGCCTTCTCCATGACAACCAGCAGCATGACGATGGAGGTGATGGCAGTGACGCAAGCGCTTGCCTGGCTTGAAACACAAAAATACACCCGCGTGTGTATACTCAGTGATTCAATGAGTATGATCCGGAGGGTTCAAGCAGGTTCAGTGCGAAGACAATGGCTTGAATCATTACAGAAGTCCACTGTGCATGGAGTCGCCTTTATTTTTGTTCCGGGACACGCAGGCGTCGATGGAAATGAAAGAGCTGACAGGTTGGCTGGATCCGCTATCACTACCGACGGTCAGCCTATGGATCATGCTGATATTATCAATGCCCTCCGAGAAATGGGAAGGATAGAGGACTTTGGTGGCAGTGAATCCACATCACTCGCCAGAATGGCAGACTTGGGAATTAAGATCGGCACAGCAAAAAACGAGACGCACACCGGACACGTCAGAAGACTTGTTAATCAACATAGAACTGGTACTATTAGCCATCGGACGTTGGGGTTCATACTGAGGGGAGGATCTGAGCACCTATGGACATGTCCGGAGTGCAATGAGGATAACCCAACTAACTAACTAACTAACTAACTAACTAACTAACTAATATACTGGGTGAACCAGACTATTACTTCGAATATACTGGGTGGACAAGGATAATATTGCAAATATACTTAGTGGAAAAGAAGAATTTCGCAAATACGCTTGGTGGAAAAGGATAATATTGCGAATATACTGGGTGGACAATAAATACTGCAAATATACCGGGTGGACAAGGATAATATTGTGAATATACTGGGTGAACCAGACAAATACTGCGAATATACTGGGTGGACAAGGATAATATTGCAAATATACTTAGTGGGAAAGAAGAATTTCGCAAATACACTTGGTGGAAAAGGATAATATTGCGAATATACTGGGTGGACAATAAATACTGCAAATATACCGGGTGGACAAGGATAATATTGTGAATATACTGGGTGGACAAGAAGAATATTGCAAATATCATGGGTGGACAAGGATAATATTGCAAATATGCTGAGTGGACACCTACCCCACACATTTTCACCTTCACCCATCTAAAAATAATTCTAGAATGTATTATCATTACTTTTCATTAAGGAACTAATAAATTTTAAGAAGATGTGATAATAGAGATTATTTAAGCCTATAAATTGTATAATCCATACTAATGAAATAATATTAAAATGTTTTTCTCTAGTGTTCCCTTTTAGTTTATATATATGTATATACTTATATATGCCTTCTATTCTCGAGCTTATTCCTAGAATTTTTATGGTGAGTACTCAGGGAATGACCGGGAACACACCACAAAAAACTAGACTGTCAGAGTGAAAATGGAACGTGTGGTTAGTCTAGGTTGAAGAGGTCACGTCAGACTGATGATGTCAGCACCTGGCCCGTCAGCCGGAGAAGAGGTTGGTTAGACACATGTACACGGAGCGCGTATGGGAATGCCTTGAGTGTTGTGATATCAGTTCTTCACTCAACTTGCGCTTTCAAGGATTTTATTTGAAGCTCTTTCAAATATGTTTTAATAAAGTAATTTTTTAAACATTTTCACCACTGATGTTGGGAAGGGGGGGGGGGGGGGGGGGGGGGGGTGGGGGGGGGGGGGGGGGGGGGGGGGGGAGGGGTTGGACTAGAAAAAAAAAAAAATTTCAATGCACAGAGGTGCTAGTTCCAATTTTCTTGAAACAGACTTATCAAGACTTGATGCACGAGGTAGTCAGCATTATGTCAGCCATTCTTTCTTGTAGGTTATTTCATAGTACACACTTGAGGCTGAATCTGTCAGGGAACCAATGTTCAGTTTAAAAGATGTGCTACACTGGTAATTACTATAACAGTCATATATGAAGCTAAGTTTATATTCTAGCTATTTAATTAAGAATATATGTCTTTTTCTTCCTTGTTAATCTGTAGAAATATTAGAGTGCATCGTCTGAGTTTGAAATTCACCTGAATTTTTCAACCGTGTTCATACAACACTTTTTTCCAGGCCTGTATTTTGTTAACTTGCACATTTTAACAGTATTCTGCTGCAGATCTTTTCTCATTTTTTGGGGGGCCAGAATGCTGTTTATATGGCCTACTCCTTACAATATTCAACTGCTAAGGAATTTTTAACAAGCACAGCACAAGAAGTATGCAACCAAAAAAGCATTGTGGTTAATGTGAGGCAACTTATGTTTGTGAATTTCAGTCCATTCAGTCCAATGTTTTCTTTTACTAGCTCTACTTCAGTTCTGTAGTATGCATCTGAAAAGCTTGAGCACATTATGCCAAGCAGTCATTATGCAATCTGTTATATATCTCTTATCTTTTTTAAATTTTACAGTGGGAGATCACTGTTTTGGCATGCTCTTCAATTTTCAAAGAATACTGTTATATTATAAAATTAGAATATTTTGCTCCTAAATTATATAAATAACTTATTCAGGATGCAATAAATTTCATTACAGGTTTCTTAAATAGAACTGCTAGTTACAAGACAGGAGCACTAACCTGGAGGTGTGACAACTTGCTGCAGCATCAAAACGCAGTCCTCACAAACAATGTCAGGAACTTTAACTGTTATGTGGTAGGTGCTTTCGTTACAAACACCAAGAGGAAACTCATTACCCTGCAACAGAGTCTGGCATTCAGAAAGTAACAATACAAATAATATGTGACACCAACTGAGCCCTATGCAATGAGCCAGCAGACTGAAATATTCTGGGATGAAGCAATAATTTATAAGAAAGGAAGTAGTTTAATACTTGGGTGCAAACTTCAGCTGCTCCAACATGTTGAGAGAAGAAATACAATCTGGAAATAAAGTATACTATGCCCTTCAACATCTGATTAAGTCAAAGTCTCTATCTCACAACACCGAGATCAAAATATATAAAATATTGATAAGACCAATCGTTTTATATGGCTCTGAAACTTGGAGCACAACTAAAAGAGATGCAGGCTTATTATAGATATTTGAAAACAGAGAGGTATGACAAATCTTTGGACTTATGAAAGATGCAAACAGCGTGGAATGGAGAGTGAGAAGCAACAACAAAATTCACAATCTGTCTAATCACCATGCCTTCAACATCTGCTTGAGTCAAAGTCTCTATCTCACAACAACAAGATCAAAATATATAAAACGTTGATAAGACCAATTGTTTTATATGGCTCTGAAACTTGGAGCACAACTAAAAGAGATGAAGGCTTATTATAGATATTTGAAAACAGAGAGTTATCACAAATCTTTATCAAAAATGCAAACAGCATGGAATGGAGAGTGAGAAGCAACAACGAAATTCACAATCTGTTTAAATCACCATTGATCATAGGCATCATGAGAGTTAATAGACTGAAATGGCTGGGGCATATTTAGAGAATGTCAGATGACAGAGAGGTAAAAACTGTATACACAAGGGAGATAAATGGTTGTAGACCACCAGGCAGACCAAGAAGATGATGGAGAGATAATGTCCAGAGAGATCTGCAAACACTTGGTGTTGCCAACTGGAAAGAGAAAGTCAACCAGAGAGATAAATGGAGGCGGGTGATATCTGCAGCAATAAACCTCTAGGACTCAGAAAGCTGAAGAAGCAGAAGCAGAAGAAGAAGAAGAAGAAGAAGAAGAAGAAGTAGAAGAAGAAGAAGAAGAAGAAAGTAGTTTAATAAAAATACAAGTTCACACAATGTTTAAAACAAATACTCTGTTCAAATGATTTTTCTTAAAAATCAACCAAAAGATAGCTAAATTATGACAGCCAGCTAACTTATTGATGGAATAATTTTTCCACATTAAAGAATACACAAGGCAACATGGGAATCACCAGACCATAAGATAGCCAATCAAAGTGATCATATCTGTGTAAAAAAAATTAAAAAATGTATATCATCCCTGTATGATGTTGGGGCTTACAGAGTTGCTGATGTATTGCCTGACCATTATTTGTTGGTGAATAAAATTAAGTTGAAACTCAAGAGATGTATAACATCTCACAATCACGGTAGCATGTCATGTGCAGAACATCACTCTCATCACCGTCTGCTTGAAAGAAACTTAGTCTCTCGCCAGCTTTCATGCCTCATGCACTTTCATACCAAAGGAGTCACTTATATCTTGTGCCCATCTTCATGCTGGTCAGCCCCTGCTCCTCCTTTCTGGCATCATGCCTTCTGCTATTATTTTTTTCCAATCTGCTGTGATTTGGACAAAATATTTCAGCATCCAAGACAAGATGTTGTTTATTAGCCAATCTTCCTTGATGATTAGATGTTCAAGGATGTCACTATTTCTGTTCTTCTTCGTCCATAGTATTCTGAGAATCTTTCTATATCATTTCAGCTCAAAAGTTCCTATTTTGATCCTGAAGGCTTGTGAGATAGGCCATGACTCACATCCCTATTGCTATAGGGAGGAAGAATGCTCTCAAAATTTTTAATTTGTATTTCCTTGCTAGTGCTTAACCATAACCTTTTAATGCTGTTTAATTGATGTCTCAGTAGTTAGGCCAATATATCTGGACCTGATGAGGCACTGTATATGACAGCAAACAGTTCGGCAAGGTCAGAATTCAAAATTAAGTGAATTCAATAAAAGCATATGTTGTATAATATTGCAAATATTTTGCACTGCCAGAAGTTTAGATACACAATTATTTGAACCATCTGTTATATTGTGGAAATCCAGAAAGTACCTAGCTGTTGGATATATTGTGACAAGACCTTACAGCATTGTTCATTTTAGAGATCATCTTCATTGCACAATGGACATGAGCATAAGTGCTCCGATCTCCTCCTGAGTATGTCTCCAAGTGTTTTAGGCTAACAACTCCCATCCTGTTCTGGCTGATGTAACAATGGGAAGCCCCGCAGAGTTTTCCTGTCTCGCAGCTCCATTTGGTACACCCAGGCATGTAGTTTATTCAGTGAAAAATCATTTTTCATTAAACTAAAAGCCTCACAGCATTTTGTCTCTCGTATGGCACTGATGAAGCCTCTCCTGTCCACAGATGGCTCATTCCTGATAGTCCCACTACCAGCCAGAGCATCTGCTCTCACACTGCCTTTCACACCAGCATAAACTGGGACAAAAATGAAGGTGATTTTTGTGAAACCATGCGTGTTGTATCAGGTGGAGCCTTGATCTTCTGCAGCTGTTCACTGAGTCATTGAGCAAACATGCGTTGGTGACATCCTAAGTTTTCAGCCATTTTACGGCCTTTGTCACTGCCATGACCTCCATTATGCTGCTGGTGGTAGAGGCAAAGGCTCCAATATTTTCCTTATTGACTTTCCTGTTAGTTCTTGCCATGAAAGCCCCATGCATTTTGCTTCTGTAAACCCCACAGAACCATCTATATATAATAACAGCATCTTGCGTTCCAGTAATGTGTGTTCCTCCACCAATGCTTTTACTTCTGCATCAACTATTGGTGGCCCCAAATCACGGCACTCTCTTGTCAGGTTGAACTGATCTGGTATGGTTATCCATTCCTGCCCACGTTTTATGTCTTGAGGAAAATCACCCGTTAAATTACTGTTTCTGCACGGCCCAACCAAGATTGGCATTGTTTAAGTCTACTACTTTTTCATGTATTGTGGTTAATGCCTTGTGGGAGAGCATGTACAGTTTGGAGCAGATGGATCACCAGTCTGGTGAGACTGATGCAGGGGGAAGTGACGAGAGGTTCTGGCAGATGCTCAAGGCTCAGAGGAAAGGCAAGACAGACGTTTAATCAAGACGCTACTGACACCATTAGTATTGGAAACTCTTCGCTGGCTGCTGAAAAAGTACTAGCAATCACAGAAACATATATATAATGGAGTAATTCAGCAGCAATATGAGAATGATCTTACTGTAATCTTTCAAATATGCAATTTAATGTCCTCAACAAAAATATTCTTTTACCAACTGAATGCAAATTATGCAAATCAAGGACCAAATGTATTTTCAGTGAAAATGAACTAAGTTTGTAAAAGCCAGTGTGACTAGCACGTCCACTTGACATACCTTCTGGTAGCATTTTGGAGTTATCACAGCATGGTTATTGTGGGGAATATGGTCTAGAAGCAAACAGCTTCTCCATATTTCACTGACAAAAACTGAAGTTAAGGTCAGGTTGCTAGTGTTGCTGACTTCACTGGTCTTCTCCAGCAAACTGACACGAAATGGAGAGCCTGATGGGAAATATAAAAAAATAATAAAAAAAACTTTTTTTCAATAAGAATAAATTAATCACAAACTTGTAAACTAAAAAAGAGAACATCAAATTATATGTCATCTACAGTTACTACTGATTCTGAGAGGTTCAGTAAAGGACTTAGTAACTATAGTCTCCCAGTTCTAGTAGACACTTTTATGGACAACCTCTTTTAATAGATGTTGGAGTATACGGATGCTGACTGTTCCCTGTAGTGTACTGATTATAAATGAGCTTCCAAAAACACCTTAGCATGCTATTATATTTTTAGCTAATTTTTTTAGACTGATTATTAACCTCTCTGCCAGTGTGAAGCAGTCTGTCACCTAACTGAAACACATCTGCCCTTTGCTCATCCTCAAAACTGGTACCCTCGAAGAAAGAACATCAGCTGCCTCACTTCTGATTCACCTGGAAGTAGATCCATCCAAGCTCAAAAAAATTATGTACCTAAAGATGCAAAATTATGGACCATCTAAACAGCAGAGAGCCAGACATAATATGAAGTAGCTGAAAACTCAGACAACAAAAAAAGAGCTGAAATGATTGCTTCTCTCTCTGTTTCTTCACTGTGCTACCACATTCTTCACCAAATGAAAACAATCTCCCTGCTAATATGCTTGGGTCACATTGATTCTCTCAGGTAAGACAGGTAAAAGACCAGATCTTGCAAATGTGTAGTGCACCAAGAGGGGAAGATAAACATAAATATCAGGCCCCAGTGACAATAGAGGAAGAAACCCATGGGAATCTGATGTCTGTTCTCTCACGGCAACACGCTCAAAGAAATGTGGTTTATCTTCTAATCAGTCCTGTTTGAGAATTAACTATTTTGGTACCAACTGACACATATATCGTATAGATGGATCAACATCATGGCACAAGGGTAGTAACCCACTAGTGCTCCATTCTACTTCTGACTCAAGCCCTAAGTCTGCAGAATCTCAGCTCAGTACATGAACTCCGTAACACTTGCGAGGATCCTGAAATACTTTGGGTAGAATTTAAACTCACAATTTTGCCCAGGCAGCGACGTTAGGTACTCTTTTTCTATTTCCATCTGCCAAGGGATATTTTACATGCGCAACAATACAAATGTGCGTCCGATCTTAATACCCGGAGACTAGGGAAAATTACTAGAATCCACGTGAACAAATCTCAGCCTTCACTGAGGCTTAAATATGCGACCTCCAGCACTCAAGGCGGACTCCATGACTTGAGACCATGCAGCACCCCAACATGACATGCCATATACAGATATGATAGAGTGCCAATCAGAGTGCGACATTTCTTATATGTAATTTTACCACCGAGCTGTAAAACAAATCACCAACTGGCAATATCAAATGATCTTTCTGTTTGGGTTGCAATAAAATGTGTGTAATACATTTATTTTTGTGTGTGATAAGACTGTTCTTTTTGTGACATTGTATAGTGCTAAAAGATTTATATTTACAAGCTTCTCTAGAACAAAACTACTCTATAGTACAATTTAAAATTGTACTTTCAAATCACCTATCAATTTAGCTTTATTTGTAATTCATTCCTGGTAGAGAATATCTTACCAAGAAACTTGAAAGTAATTGGGGGGAAAACATCCAATATTGAAGTTCATTCATTCTCTAAGCACGATATCTGTTTGCTAATATTTGACAACAAACACAATTATTTGTCATAGGAAAATATTAATATTAATCTTAAAACTTTCTTGTTCATTTTGAAACATAAACTCACTTATGTGTATCGAAATGCCATTCATTATGTGCTGCATATTTTTGGTCAGTAGGATGCAGTCTGCAAACTTTAATGAGTGTTTTCATTTGTAATATAGTACCAAATAAGTACTCCTAAAGAACTAGAAGTTACTCTCTGAATACTCCACCAAGGATAAGGATAACAGCACAACTTTAGGACACCCTTTATCTAAATAAGAACTCCCACTTCCTGCTCATGCTTAAAGCTGAAAACATACTGAGTGGCACTCTCAGCCTTTGCCATTCACAACAGTCTAGTGGCAATTGTGTTTTCATGTGTGTCACAGATGACGACTATCAGAGACCAACCTGCTTTAAATTGGTTACAGATATATTTAGTGCCTTTAGGCTGATAAAACTGAGTGATTAATGAACAAGCATTACTTGGCTGGAAGCTGGTTTCTTCAAAGATGATGGTGAATAATCCGGGATGAAGAAGTGTAATATCTGAACCAGAAAGTTGATCATCGAGGTCACAAGTTCCCTGGATATTTAGAGTAAAGGAAAAAAACATTGTTTGTGAATAAGGAAACATGTATCTATTTAAAAAACTTTAAAAAATAAAAAAGTGCATTAGACAGACATCTTAACCAGTACGACTATGTGATGATTACTTTATGGCAAGTAGCATTCAATATTTACATTAAAAAAAAAAATATTATAGTTTGAAATCACAGTAAGCCTTGAGTTGATTAAACTCCATCAGGACCATATTTTTTTCTTAGGTTTGGACCAAATTAATATTTGAATACCTTCCTGAAGAAAAATGTATTGGCTGGATAGTGACATATAACACATCCAATTAAAGAGAAATGAATACAGAAAACATCTGAACTATTTAAAGATCAGTACTGCAAAAGAAAAACATTAAAATGACACAACATTCAAGGATGTTAAGGAGCACATGAAGATTTTTGACACATGAAGTTTTGTACTTATCTTATGTTTTTATTTGATCAGAAACATTGCTATCCATTTCTAAGAAATCACATGCCTGCTCTTTTTAATTATGTATCAGCTGGTCTTTATTTGAGACAATTAATCTAAATGCTTTAAATTTTATTACCATTTCGGTGTGACATGTCACATTTCTGATGAATGAAACAGGAATGATCCAAATGAAAACTTTTCTTCAATTCATCCCAACCCATCCAGTCAGTTATAGGTGCTGCACTTGCATTATTAATCATAATGTCAAGACTACAGTCACCATCTGTCTCAGATTCATCAATGACAGCAACAGTATGGACAGTTCTAGATTTAGCTGTGTAATTGTTTTGATCTTACGATTTGCTCTGGCATGTTTTCCAGTAGGTGGTTCATATTCACGATCAATGTCATAATTTACATCTGTGCTGGAATCTAAGTTATTATTAGAATTACTTTTTTATTTACCTAACAACCAATGCATAAGATCTAAAGCCTGAGTTTTGGTCATTCTTTTAACTTTCTCTACAGCGGTGTTGAAGGATAGGAAAATCACCCAGATATTGTATCACACTGATTTTTTTTTTTTAAAGTAAAACAATGTGCAAATTAATCTTCTCGCTTGCCCATGCCTTGAAAATGAAGATCCTTTGTGCACTAATTATAGTTTTTCAAAACTCGTTCAAACAAAGTCATTTTCCTAGCAAACAAAATTATATTTGACAGTCTACATTGGCAACCACTGAAGAGGTGATATGCCTAAACGTGACTGATTCTGTCATCATCTAATCGGGGATATGTCCAGAAATAAATAAAAAATGTTGCTCAAAAACTTTTTGCTTTTTTAAATGGCAAAAATGTTAAATGTTATTTTAAAATTACTCAGCAAATTTCACTGAATCAGATATTAAAATTGAATAAATTAGAAGCAACTGGTGTTGAGTTGAAAATCAATAAATGTAAAATATGAGAAAGACACATACAGATTAAATGTTTGATGAAAGTTTACATCACACTTTACTACCCCTTGGGCCTCTGATGATAAATCCCCTGGGACTGAAAGAGTTAATGTAAAAAATATTTACATTTTTTGCTCAACTCAAAATTCTCAGGTTTAGTGAACAAACTGATAAATTTCTTCTTCTTCTTCACTTCCTTTTTTACCGCTGTGGGTGTCGAGGGAGATATAAGGTTCTGTTTCTAGCTCTTCTGGTTGCCTCGACCATAGGCACATCGTGCTGTTGTAGAGTTTCTCTGATGTTATCCTTCCATCTTGTTCTTGGTCTACCCCGTGCTCTACGTCCTTTTTCTCTTTCCATGTATGCTTTGTATGGTATGGTGTCACAAGGCATTCTCTCTAAGTGGGCAAACCATTTCACTTGCTGTCTTTGTATGTAATCCAGAATTGGTTCTGTGCCGACTTGTTCTCTTATGATCTCATTCCTGATCTTATCTCTTATGGTCACTCCTACAGTCCTTCTCAGACATCTCATTTCCGTGGTTACTAATTTTCTTTTATGGTTTGTTGTGAGTGACCATGTCTGGCACTGGTAGCACAGATAATCACCAGCCATTAATGGAAAATCACTCTCATTTGTAAAATTTCAAACAGTAGTCACTAAATCAGTCTTAACAACACACAAATATTTTTAATAATAAATGCATAAAATTTGAAAATGTAAAAATTAACTGCGAAATAATGAAACTATTCACAGTAACAGAAGTTGTGGGACAAAATGAACAGTTAGTAAGTCTACTATCAGATATTACTTTGTGAATTAACTAAAACTAAATACAGATAGAAAAAGTAGGGTACACACGTCTTTTAGATTAAAAGTAAGCTGTTCAAATGTATGTGCACTGAAATTAAATCTGTTGCTCTTCCTACTATTTAGATTGCCTCCTGGATATCCCCCTTCTCCCTTTTTGCTTTGTCTTCTATGGGGATCAATCATGCATTTATTTCTTAGCAAGTCTCCTGTGACTGAAACTATTTCAAAATTTCTAATATACTATGTAACCTCTGGGTAGGCCATCACATTATTAACCCACTACCAATAGCAATAGCCTGGCGAGAAACACAGACTTTCACCCGGGCATGCTTTCTCAGCGACAATGAATATGCTCAAGAAGATCGAGAAGGGTTGCAAACGAAGACAATGGGTGGAGTCCTGGAATAGATCTAGGCTGACAAAAATCTATTTTATATTTGTTCAGGGGCATTCTAGTGTAAAGAGCAATCAATGAGCTGACAGGCTTGCAAGCGATGCTCACGTGGGAAATGGACGAGCAATGGACAGGGCTGATATACTGAATGCTTTTAGAGAGGCAGCTCGTTTAAATGAATCAAGTAATGATTGTGAATCGGCAACATTGCAAGACTACAGGAACATAACATTAAAAAAAGGTGAAGCCAGACAAGAACGCTACACAGGGGCCCAAGGAAGAATAGTAAACCAACACAGAACTGGTGTCGTAAGCCACTACATGCGGAGGGAGATACTGAAGAGGGGATCTGAGCACTTATGGAATGGATGGTTTGATGTGCAATGATGATAATCTGTCAACTAACTAAATAACCCACTACCATAAAAAAGGTTTTAATCAGGGCTTTTATTTCTACCCCAACAAAAACAAAAAAATGGTACAGATATTCTGAGATTTAAAACAAAGTTTTTTGAATAGCAGTTGGTGCTGTACCAATGTACCACCATTTAAAAAAAGCTCTGGTTTTAATAATACCATCTGAATTAGTTTTGGTTAATAATTTATGTTAGAGATCATCTTCATCACACATCAGACTTGACCATAAGTGCTCCAATCTCCTCCTGAGTATATCTCAAGTCTTTTTAGGCTCCCATCTTGTTCTGGCTGATGTAATGACGGGTGGCTCCCGCTTGGTTTTTCTATCTCACGGCTCCAATTGGTACACCCATGGTATGCAGTCAATTGTGTGATTTTCAACGAAACTGAAAGCCTCACAGCGTTTAGTCCCTTGTATGGCATTGATGACGTCTCTCCTGTCCATTGAGGGCCCATTTCTGATAGTCGCACTGCCAGCCAGGGTATCTGCTCTCTCATTGCTTTTCACATCAGCATCCCCCGGGACAGACATAAAATAATTTTGCAAACTGCTGCGTCCTGAATCAGATGGAGCCACTGTTTCCACATGAACCACGCCTTGATCTTCTTTAGCATGCTCACTGAATTGCTGAGCAAGCATGCACTGGTAAACTTCTGAGTTTTCAGCCATTCTAGGGCCTTTGTCACAGCCATGACCTCCATTGTCATGCTGCTGGTGGTAGAAGCAAAGGCTCCACTGTCTTCTTTATGACTTTCCATTTGATTCTTGCCATGCAAGCCAGTGCACTTCGCTTCTAACGAATTACGAAACCATTTGTTTATATAACAGCATCTTCCAGTGATGTGTTCCTCCACCAATGCCTTCACTTCTTCATCAATTATTGGTGGGGTCAAATCATAGCACTGTCTTGTCAGGGTGATCACCACCACAAAGTGCTGCTTGTATTATGTGGTATGGGTATCCATTCCTCTTCACGATTTATGTCTTGAAGGGAAATACCCGTTGAAGTACTGTCTCTGCAAAGCCCAACCAAGACTGGCCTTGTTTAAAAGTCAGTTTGTTGCCTTTAGGCATATTTAGTGGGACCCTCAGTGATTTTGTGGTAGGCGCAGCTTGACGCATCTTAATTAGTATTATGTATTAATAATAATTCAATTAATAATAATTAAATAATTAACATATTCAACAGTGAAAAATAGTTAATTGAAACATAATATTAATAATAATAAATCACTGAAAAAGGCAAGTAATAGAAAGGGGACAATTGTGTGATTGTGTAATGTTTATGTGTTTGCGTGTAAGTGTGTATGTGGGCGCGTATATGTATGTGTGTACGTGCGCGCGCGCGCGTGTGTGTGTGGGGAGACTCCCCCTCAGAAGAGGGCGGACTCAAACACAGTAAAAATTAAATTTAAAATAAATACTGACTGATGTATAGTCGGATCTGGAGCTTGTTGGGGCTGGACATACAAAGCGTACATTTCCTTCTGAAATATTATGTAGAAAAGAGATGAATATGAACAGATACATTAGCCGAGACATGTCCTGGATGTTGGTGACAGTCACAGTGTCACTGTCTAGCTCAACTCGTCTCTATGAATTCTGTGACGGGCCCAAATTACTCCAGATTTCTCAATACAAATGAATTCTCACATAACCCGGAAGTAAATCTCAGCGCCTGAACACTCCCTCGCGACCCTCAGCATTTCCCAAATTTTGTCCTCCGCTCTTTCTTTTGACTGTTTTACATACACACACACACACACACACACACACACATATATATATATACTCAAACACGCGCGCGCGCGCACACACACACGTGTGTGTGTGTTCATTGGTAAATTACAAATAATCATTGTCGCAATCGGACATGACCATAAGTGCTCAGATCTTCCCTAGTCCTCCTGAGTATGTGTTTGCGCACGTGCGTGCGTATGCGCGTGGTGTGTGTGTGTGTGTAATTGAAAGAAATAACGAACTTAGGCCCAGCTACACACTTATAAGTAGGGCTGTACCGAATAGTGATTTTCACCATTCGACCGAATACGAATAGCGGGACCAACTATTCGGCCGAATACGACTAGTGTATCATCATCATCAAGTGCCTTGCCGACTGGCGGTGGCGAATATGCCCCACCACAATCTGCGATCTCCTGCAGTATGTATTAGTTCGTGTACTAACACACCTCCATGGCATGCAACAAGACTGTCAAGAATCTTCTCTCATTGTCTTCCTCTATCCCAACTTCCACAGATCTTTCCAGTGGTCACCACATGTTTCATTTTCCCTCTTCTCATAAAATGGCTGAAAAATGATGACTGTATCATTCTGATGTCTGTGATTAGTTGTGTTCGGGCTCCCGCAACTTTTAAAACCTCTTGGTTGCTTTTTATTGTGTGGCTATCCATGGTATTTTAAGCATTGTTCTGTAAAACCTCATCTCTGAGGCTTCAAGAAATTGTTTGGTCTACCTACCGATTGTCCAGGACTCACATCGCATTGCCTTTATATATAAGTGTTTACTTGACGAAGCTAACAGTGACTATTGTACAGACCACATTTTCCACTTTAAAATTTCAGTCAAAATTTAATCACAACCTTACTTATCCGCTGCACCGTCACGAGTACAGATGGAGGATCAGTCGCAACTCGAGATACACACAAAGACAATTTTCAGCACACTGAGGTTGGCATGTTATGCAGTATTATTAACTTTGAGTGTGAAACACAGTGTCGAGGAAAGACAATTTAAATTTTAACTCTTAAGTATCTTCAAGCCTTCTTTAATAATGTCACAATTTAAAGCCGACTTTTCTTGATTTTCGCCACGGCACCCCTGGCATACGCACCCAGTTTGAGAACCTCTTCTGTAATGCCTATGTAGAGTCAGCAGGCAAAGACTTTGCCAGCTGCTGAACCAAGCAACCGTGTCGCAGTTTCCCCCGCTACGACAGACTTGAGCAACAGAAACTTTTGTGTTAATGAGAAAGTTAATTCAGTCCATCACAGTGTATGCAAAACGGGTGTACGAAAACAAACTACTATTCGTATTTGGCCCGACCGCAAGTATTCGGCCGAATACCGAATAGTTACTAAGTCCACTATTCGGCCCCAAAGAGAATACGAAGCGAATATTCGGTACAGCCCTACTTATAAGTGACAAAGTCGGACCAGGACATTGCGATTAGACGTTCATTCATGCGTGTTAACATTTGAGACAAGTAGGTTTAAGTGCCAGGGATGTCAGGTTGGTGCTATAAGTATTGTCTCGGCAGTCTTAGCGTGCTCTATATTAGAGAATGTGAGCGGTTTTAACTACCACATCGCACGTACAACTGGCCCTAACCCTAACCCTCCTACCGCACACTGCCATAGGTCCCACGAGAGTGTACATTCTACACCCCTCTAACGTAGACCAGGCTGACCAAGCAACAGTGATAGGTCACCTAGTGTGTAGCTGGGCCATAGCTAGTTATTTGTTCCACATAAATATATAATGGCTAATGCACTTTGAGACCAACGCCACCAGGCCAGCACAACCATCCACAATATTACATTATGATACAACACATTCGTGTGTACATTTTAAGTGTCCTGATTTTATGTTTGAATCTCCATGTGTTGGGTGGAGAGGCACAAATGTCACATTACAATTGCAAACGACAACACGACTTGCAAATCGTATTTCTAACAAAAAAAAATAATGCTTGAAAACAATTTGTTAATTATAGTTTTTAAAAAGTGTGCCTTCTAAGTCTATAGAATCCAGCTGAATGGACCCTACGTCGGAGAAAAGAGCAGTGGAGATTGTCGTAAAAATAGCGCAATCAGTATGTTTGCAGTGGATCCACAAAAATGATAACTTTGTATGACGTGGATTACTCTGAAATAGTAACTTGGTACTTCATGTGTGTTTGTTAACGATTATGAAATCAGTTGCCCTCAACTCGGCCTAGTGTGAAGTAGAATACGGTGCTGATAGTTTTCTTACATTCTGCTGTCAAGTGTGTCATTTGAGTTTTGCTTGTGTCCATGTTTTGAACGTTGTCAGTAAATATTTATCAATGTACCGTTTCTGTTAACATTAAGATACACACTCTGGGTTTGTTTTAAAGAAAGCACTGGCGACAGTTTCGTTTCTTAGTGACACACATTCGGCAAACGATCAACAGTGATAATACAGGTACGTGAAAAGCTGTCATATGAGGGAAAATAAAGCCGCACATATTTGCCAGTCAGAAATATCTTTCTTTTTATAGTCCATGCCCTGTGATGTGTGCCATTATGCCATGTCTCCAACCTTCTGTCAGGTCAACACCTTCTCCAGCTGACAGGCCAAGTGGCAGTTTCGCTCAACTGTACAACGTGGGCGAACTGAAGTTTTTCGGAGTTAAATAAATAGAGGATCCGATTTTTACGTGCTTACTATTTACGTTATAGCAATAGGCCTTTGTCTATCTATTGTCTTCTTCACTTTTACCGGGTTGCAGCCCAGGGTCGTGGTTTAAAATATTTGTTTTGTGCCTCTTGCAGTGTTGCCACTTTTCTTTGACAAAAAAGATCCAAAACGGGGTTAAAAAATATCTAAAAAGATCTAAAATTGCGTGGAAAATATTTTTAAAAAATATCCAAATGAAAAGAGTCACAAATTACAAAACTATTGAAATGACTTACCCTATAGACACATGTCCTCATCTTCACTAATGTCTGCTTCACAAGATCCACAGGATAAACTTAGCTTGGATGATGAAGTTGAAGCTTCAGATCCCAAATTACTCTGGTATGCTTTAGCTGTTCCTATTTCTTTTAATACACAATCAGGGAGCTGATAAGTGGAACAGCATTTTCCTACTCTCATCAGGCCAAACCTTATTGTCAAGATAGCATTTAAGAAGTCTAATTTCATCCTGTTTCTTAGGTTAGATTTGATGTAATTCATAGCACTGAAAACTCTTTCTACGTCAGCATTTGAGGGGGGTAGTATCATGGCAGACATGGCACATTCAAAGAGTTTACAGAATGGACTGTTCGATGAGGCATCTTTAAATTGTCTCACTTCACTCCAAAACGCTTGTTTCTGTTTTGTTTGTCCATTCAACTAAGTTTATTTTGGTTAACTAATATTCTGCTTCCGCGACACTATTGTCAGTAGCCCCTAAAAATTTCATAACTTTACAATATTTAGGTATGTCCTTTACTGGCTGAAGTATGTTGCTCACAGAAAAGAGTGAAATATGTTTCAAAACATCTAGATTTTCAGGAAGTCTCTGCTTTAGTTGCTTGAACAATGAGATAAGGAAATCTTGACAGCGTTTTCTTAAGTTGTTCTCTTCATTCTCTGTTAACAGTCCTTTTGTTTTTAAATCATCAATTTTTGATTCAATTTGATGTCCAAGGTATGGTTTAGGGGCCAAATAGCTCTCTATAGTGCAAGTGAGCAAATAAACTTTTGAAGTTGGTAACACCAGTCTTTTACCAACTGAGTAAAATAGCAAAGTGAGATCATCTAGTAATTTAACTTTATCAACATGTTTGGATTCGAACAGTTTATTAACTTTTTGCACTTCCATTAGAATAGGTTGTAAAAAAGAGAAGAAATGCCAAATTTTTTTCATCACTGTACATTTCATATAGTATCTCAGCTGTGTAGCACTTTTCACTTTGTCTTATTATTTCAAAGTGTGTCTTTAACTCCAACCATTGGTTCAGAATTCTTTCAACAGCTGGTTGTATTGATAACCACATGGTTTTGCAATCTGACAGAATTTTCAGTGGTGTGGAACCATTATTTAAGGCTGAATACAATGCATTGTATTGCTGTTGTCTGACAAATGATTTTGAAAACCAGTTATGTGTTTCAGCAATAAGGTATTCCAAATTCCTTGGTAAACATTCAGATGAAGCATGTGATAATGCTAGCTGCAATGAATGACACATACATTTTATAAGTATTAACGATGGGATAGCTTCCTTCAACTTGGCATAAACGCCATTGTTTATGCCAACCATCACTGAGGCATTATCGGTACCAATTGCAACAAAATTTGTCAAGTCTAACTGTTTGCTGGTTAAAAGGTTCTTCAGTTCTTGAACTATACTTTCTGCATCACACTTTTCCAATTGAACTAGTCCAAGATATGTAGAAACTACTTTGTCTGTATTGTTGCTGTAATATATAATACACACACCAAGCACTTTCAGTACCGAAATATCATTTGATTCGTCTAATAATAAACTATATTTATTTGTAGAAATATCACTGATCAAATCTTTTTCGAAGTGAGAAAATAAAGTATTTCTTATAATATGTGTACACTTGCTGTGATGCATTTTCTCATCATCCATAACTTTACTGTCAGAAATTATGTTTTCAAACAAATCAATCAAATGGTCACAGTTTGAAATTGCACAATGACAACTTAAAAACATTGCGACCGACCCTTCAACTTTTGATTATTCATTTATCAGTGTACTTCTGAAAACAGATGTCAGCAGTGTAATATCTTTGAATGGAACTGCAGTTTTATGCTTGTTAGTC